CCTGTATATATAAAAATTATTGCCACTTTTCGTTGTAATTTTATAACTCAAGAACGGGCTCACCTAGCCAAACCAAATCTTTAGGCTTTGTTCGGACTATTTATTAGATGGTTTATGTGAAGTTTGCACAAAATCGGACGAGCGGTTCTTCATTTTCACATTTTTTGTAATAAATGAATTATTCAATAAATGGAGGATCATTTTGTTAATGGGGATTTTGCTGTCAAATTGAAACTTTTTTCAGCGTTGACAGTACCAGCATGTTGTTATGTCATTAATGTGGTCATTTCATTACTTATTTTATTTATTTATGAAAAAAATTTACTAAGCCCGCATACGGCGCCATCTCTTATAACCGATACCAAATTTATTTTGTATTTTGTATACCGCGCCATCTCTGATACCTGGAACGAAGCTCGGCATTGCAGATACAGTAGAACAATGCTGCTCAGGAACTGGAGCTATATCGAACAGAACTATTCCACTATTCCGATCAGATAGAGTGGTGCAGAAAGAGTAGATCAGATAGAGTAGTGCAGATAGAGTAGAACAGATGGAGTAGTGCAGTGCATGCAGTGCAGATAGAGTGAAACAGGGCTGCGCTAGAGATTTTTTTTGTTTTCTTTACATTCTTTGAACATTCCTGTGCCTGAGTTTATTTAGTTGGTGGTACATTTTACAAGAATAATGCCCACAAGCTGCCTAAAAAAGGATGATGTAAAATTTTAATTTTAGGTGACTTCTGATCCAGAGAGTAAACATTAATTTTCTTCAACCAAAGCCAAATTCACCATCGAAAAAAATTGAATTTAATTCAGTTAATGGATACGTTAACACATCATTTAATAGGTATATTTAATAATTCAGAGGCGGTACGAAGTTCGCCGGGTCAGCTAGTATTCTATAAAATTCAATTTTAATGTGACATGCGAGGTTACATGACTATATGACTGTCTGTATTAGCTGGTGGTATTAATTCAGTATGGTGTTTATGAGGTGGTGGTAGGGTAGGTACTAGGGTTTCCTTAAAGGTTTTTCGGAATTCAGGATAACGAAGTCAAGAAATCCGGACAAAATCCGGACTTTGTCGAAATAGCTATTTATGCAACAAGTGTGTAAAGTGAACCTTTTTTCACGAATGTGAATTCTGACGCACGAGCCGAAGTGCGACAATCACATAATCACATGAGTACAAAAAAGTTCACTCTACACACGTATTGCATGTAAAAAAATTTCTACTACTAATAAAATATGTGTATAAAAATAAATTTAGACGAATACTTCACGCACTAGCAGAGCTGTTGTACTGAGTATTTTAAATACTTGAAATAAATATTTAAGTACAAAAATATATTTAAGTATTTGACTTAAGTACTAATCTAAACATTGGTACTTGTACTTGCAATTTCAAATTTTTCAAAGTTTACTTGAAGGTACTTAATATTTAAAATATCAGTCAAGTAATTTTATTTGAAAGCTTTTGAAAATTTGTACTTAAGTGATATTAAATTACTTAAGTACTAATGAAATTACTTGACTGAATAAAGTTTTTCTATTAATCGCGTGACGTCATAAACACACGCGAAAATTGCAAAACCTATTTAAACTGACGCAGCATAGGTGTGAGAACGCAGAAACAATACGATAATGTTGATAATAGCTCTGTTCCAATCGACATGAGAAACGTGCTAGAACGGTAATTTCCAGTCGATCAATTCATTTGTCAAGTAGGATAAACGTTCAACTTAGGTGGGCAACTGGAAATATCGGTTGCAACATAGCTAATATATGTATATGCAGCAAGAATCAAAAAACGCGCGCCAGCGCCGGTTGTCGGACTCAGTTTGTGCATATGACGTCACAGTGCTATTGGGAGAGGGAACTTTATGCCACAGTATCTTCGCAACGGTTGGTCGTAGCCTAGTGCGGTTTGAAAATTTGTTCTTGGATTTTCTTTTTCCAAAACTTTTATTTTTGGGTCACGCCCCCTTTAAAGATTATTGATAGCAATTATTTAATTTGTTTGTTTAATTCGAACAATACTTGAAATAAAAAATACTTAAATTATTTTTTGAAGTATTCATACGTAAATGTCATTACAAGTACGCAAGTTTAAGTAAATACTTAAACTTGACTCTGACTTTCGTGGAATTTGGTACTTGTACTTGAATTTGGACAATTCAAGTCAATTTACTTGATATTTCAAGTATTTCCTTCTGTACTTATACTTGTACTGGTACTTGATTTGTTTTAAAAAAGAAACTTGTACTTAATACTTAAGTAGTTTTTCTTAGTACTTACAACAGCTCTGCGCACTAGTGCGTAAAGTGAAATAATTTACTAGAAAAAAAATGACAGTGTCGACATCTGTCATGGACATTACCTACTTCACGCACTAGTGTGTAAAGTGAATTAATTCACGTACAAGTGCGTGCAGTGAAATTTTACGTCTTTTGAAAGGGGCGTAAAGTGAGTAACTTCACGCACGATATAAGAAATAAATAATAAAAAATTTTCATGAAGGCGGACAATATGAGGTTGTCGAGGTGGTGGTAGGGTAGGTACAGGGTGATCTACTATAAATGTAAACCCCTGCTAAATTTTTCATTTGACGTTTTTGACAGAAGTGTCAAATACAAAAGTTTCAAGAAATTGTCAAAAGTTTTTAACTAAGTCAGTTTTAGGCATACAGGGTACGTCAAAAAAGTGCAGCAGCGTGAAGTTATATTTTTTTTTAAATGGAACACCCTGTATATTGTGTGCCTATTTGTTAGTCCCCTTTAACCTGTTTTCAACGATATAGGGTTTGATATGTCTATCTTCAACAGTTATAGGAAAAACATGAAAACCCCTTTTAAGGTTTCATATTAAAAAAAGGAAAATTATACCATTAAAGCTTTATAGAATTTTTTTTATTATCAGTTTATTGTTCAAATTTTATTCATTAATATACAAGGTGAAATATCATAATGAATCCAGATGTTTAAGCTATTATTATTTAAAAAAAAAAATAACATGAGAGACCTAGGAAGGAATTTTCGCGTTTTTCCCTATAACTATTGGAGATAAACTGAGGCATAAACATATCAAACCATATATCGTTGAAATCAGGTTAAAGGGGACTAACAAATAGGCGCACAATATATAGGGTGTTCCATTTAAAAAAATACAACTTCACACTGCTGCACTTTTTGACGCACCCTGTATGCCTAAAACTTTTGACAATTTCTTGAAACTTTTGTATTTGACACTTCTGTCAAAAACGTCAAATGAAAAAGTTAGCAGGGGGTTACATTTATAATAGATCACCCTGTACACACAAAAATAAATAAGTAGGTACACTGGTTAGACATTCTTCAGACATTTTATTCTGGCTTAAGTGTCGAATGCAAATAAATAATAGCTATTTTCCTAACAAGTGCGGGAGGAGACATTTCCGTTACGAGTGTGCGAAGCGCCCGAGTGCCGGAAATTTCTTCCAGCAAGCTTCAGGGACTATATTTTTTTTACAATCGTACTAAAGGTGATGTTACGACAAATGACGTAATTTAAATAAAATGTGCAGAAGGTAAATTTATAAATGTTTTGGGAAGAAAATAACACACAAAACAAGAAAGTCTGCCCGCACAGCAAATAGTGCGGAAAGGGCCATTTCCCGCATGCAAGTAGAAAAAACACATACTACCTTTCTCTTATTTATTTCCTAGTCCGTTAAGTGAATTAGCTCTAAATATTGTTTTTTTGGTTTAACTGTATTTATCATAAGTTTAGGCTTCCAACATGAAATTCATCTGCCTCGGAAACTTGTTTTGTCGTGTCATGTCCTTCGAATAGTGGCAAATGAATTGAAACCTATGCTAAGAAATTTGCTAGGAATTAAGATTCCAACAATCCAGAGCAAGACAACCAGTGAGCAGCGTTGCCATGATTGTAAATAACTCCTTGTATTTCCCGACGAAACATGTACCATCGTCACCAACAGTAACTGGGACAGCGACATATTAGCTCTTGTACTATTATATGACATTTAGCGTCAAATATTTGTCAAACCATGAATAAAATGAATAATGGTCATGATGGTAGAAATAGTCCAGGAGATTATTATGAATTATTTTTGTCCCAGATACTTTTGGTGACGATGGTACCTACGCTTTTTGAAAATTTCAACGAAATTTATGAAATTTCCAGTGAAACATGTGAGATTTTCTATAAAGTTTGGGAAATTTCAAATTGAAATTTTCACCTGCAATTTCTGTGAAATTTCACTTTTTTCGAATATTGAAAATTTCACATTTGAATATTTCAAACATGGAAATTTCATTTGAAAATTTCAAACGGCACAACCCTATTTCTATGCACCTAATAATAAGTTATTGCCAACTATTTCCATATATCAACAAAATATTTTGATATATTGCCAGGTATTTCCCTAGTATTATCACATATTACCAGGTATTGCCATGATATTAACAGACTAAAATCAAATAATCGTTTGTCTTGCTAGAATTCTAGTGATTGCCATATCCACAGGTATTTATATGTTATTAATGGGTATCAACCAATGACATTAACATATTGTCTAGATATCTACAAGTTAGTATTGACATATATTACCTACATAATTAACAAGTAGGTATTGCATAGTATTGACAGTTTTTACCTGGTATTGACACATATGAACCAGTGATTTGTACACTGATTAACAAGGTAAAAAACCCCTCACTCTATACTTAACTCTCGATGTAGAATCAAACCAAGCATCAAAATGAAATTTCATAAAAGACCACAGTCAGATTTGTGTTTCTTGCCTACTGTGGTTAAGTATGTAAGGGCCAAATTTATACTGAATCTTGTGTTTTGAATGAACACTTGCTACTATTTGACAAGTTAGTCAATGTAAATTTAGGCCCTAGGACTCAATATAAAACCCATGCTCGGTTAAAAAACAGACAGTTTCATGCTTGTACAAAAAAAAAGCCCACAAAAAAACAATTCCCCACCTAATATTGGTATCTGATCCACCCTGTCTATCGAGCATCTAAAAAACCCAGCGGGGGCTTTCGGGGGGCCTTTGCTGGCCATTGCGACTTAATTTTAATTTAAATACGTAAAACGGGTCATACCTTCGTCAGTCAGATCGTCGAGACAGTCGTCGTACGATTGCGATTGGGATATTTCTATAAAGGAAAGACGTCATTGAAAAAGTTTATTTTGGATTTTTTCCCAGTCAGGACTTACCAGCAGCACCGGCCATTTTATATTGGGGTTTTTCAACGAAACGGGAGCATTTGCCAGATAACTTAAGGGGCTTCTTAATAGGGCTCTGCAATTATTATTAAAATAAGGGGCTTTTAGTTAAAATGCAGAAATGTTTTTTAAATGGGGGAAAGGGATTTGTTGTTTATTGCATTTTTCAATGTGCAATGGTGCCAACCCAAAAAATATTTCACATTAAAAGTCTTTTGTCATTTTAAATTAATAAATAATTAATGTTTTTTTTTTAAATATTAAAGTCAATTAATTGAAATTCAACAATTAATAATTAAATTCACTCAATAATTAATGCTATTAATACGTAATTCTGTATACTAACAAGTGTACCAACCTAAATATTTGATTTAGTATCTTTGTCTTTTACATGCCTGACAAACAAAGACAGATAATAATCCTCCATTTTGGAGGCAAATTTGAATTTCAAAAGGGGCAATTTTATTAAAACCAAAATGAAACATTAGAAATATATTTTCAATTTAAAAAACAAATAACGTGTTTTTTCTTCTATGAATAAAAATATGTTATTTAATAAATGCAAAAAGGGCTGGTTTTTGAGAGCCAGTTTCTCAATAGCAAGGTAAACATTTAACCTTAGAGGTGACACTATTGAAAAATTGACCCTTAGTGTGGCTAAATCAATGCTAGTTAGTTAACAAACACCTTAAATAGTGATATAGTTTTTCTGAAGCACAATCTAAGGTTTTTGTTTTAACTAACAAACGATTGATTTACCCGCACTAAGGCCCAGTTTCACAATTGGTGGTTATCAAACTCATAGTTGCAAGTTGACTAAGCTTAATTTTGGCTAAACCACACATTATGAAACAGATAACCATCAGTGTCTTATGTAAAACTGACCCTTAAGGGACAATAATAATTAATTATTATTATTATCAGGTACTTCCCAACAAAATTTCCGTCCTAATTCTATTTAACAAATAATTATAAAATATTTAAAAAAAATATGTACAAAACAACCTACTTAATTTAATAAAAATTCGTTTTGGATGTCACGACGCATGGGGATGATCTTCGATTGTTACTTGGCTGAAGGGAGATCGGCACATCGGGCACTCACTGAGTTGATCTGCACAGGACTGACAAAATCCTCTTGAAAAATAAATATGTTTTGGTTATTAATTTATAGTCTAAATTACTTAGGGCTAATTTACAATAATTTATGCACTATATAGTCTGTTTCATTGCATAGTTGATAATTCATATAGAGATTTAGAACCATGAAGTCATTGTAAATCTTATGGTTTTTTGGTCCTTACTGCAATGAAACAAACTATAGTATATAAAGTGATATAAAACTTTTACAAATTGATGTTGTTGGAGTATTTTTTCAAGTCCTTAAAGGTTTTGAAATTCTATACAAATTCAGTGTGTTTTTAGTGAAGATTTTCAACTAATTCAATGTCCATTTTCAGCATTTCCTTGGACTGTCTAGTAGTTATATAAGGACTATACTTTCTTCATCATATTTTTAGATTATATTTAAAACTTTATGTGATATTATTGAAAATATCTTCTTCAGTGCGGCTAGTTGAGTCATTGTTAGTTAACAAACACCTTAGATTGTTTCAATGTCAATATGATATCGTTTTTGTGTGGCACAATCTGAGGTCATTGTTTACTAACAAAAACTTAACTAACTTAGAAAATCCATGCTTGGTTCTTTTGGAATTTTTTCCATGATTTAAATAATTATTCTCAATTATGTCACGATTCAGAACTTCGAAAATTGGTTCCCTAATGATTTTGAAGCAGTGGAATATTCTAGACGGTATTAGAAATCTTCCAAATGTTCTTTGATATTTTTGTAATCTGTTTGAAAATGAACATTTTTTTCTTATGGCTGAATATGACATGCCTCCACATTTTTATCATTTACTCAAAAGCTACTCAAGACATACATATGAGATTATAAGAGGGTATTTTTGAGGCTTAGAGGCAAAACATACTAAAAACTCAAATGAATTAAACCAAAATTGACAAAGTTACAAGATTTTTAAAATTGAACATTTTTTTCTATGAGACTGAATATGACATGCCTCCACATTTTGACCATTTACTCAAAAACTACTTGAGGTACAAACATGACATTTTGAGGTGATATTTTTGAGGCTCAGAGGCACAACATACCGAAAATTCAAATCAATTGGACAAAAAATGTCAAAGTTACAGAATTTAAGAAACTGGATATTTTCTTCTATAAAGCTGAATATGACATGCCTCTACATTTTGACCATTCACTCAAAAACTACTTGAGGTACAAACATGACATTTTGAGGTGATATTTTTGAAGCTTAGAGGCACAACATACCGAAAATTCAAATCAATTGAACAAAAAATGTCAAAGTAACAGAATTTAAGAAAATGAATATTTTCTTCTATAAAGCTGAATATGACATGCCTCAACATTTTGACCATTTACTCAAAAACTGCTTGAGGTACAAATATGACATTTTGAGGTGATATTATTAAGGCTTAGAGGTGAAACATACTAAAAATTCAAATTAATTGAACAAAAAATGTCAAAGTTACAGAATTTAAGAAAATGGATGTTTTCTTCTATAAAGCTGAATATGACATGCCTCTACATTTTGACCATTTACTCAAAAACTACTTGAGGCACAAATATGACATTTTGAGGTGATATTATTAAAGCTTAGAGGTGAAACATACTAAAAATTCAAATTAATTGAACAAAAAATGTCAAAGTTACAGAATTTAAGAAAATGGATGTTTTCTTCTATAAAGCTGAATATGACATGCCTCAACATTTTGACCATTTACTCAAAAACTACTTGAGGCACAAATATGACATTTTGAGGTGATATTATTAAGGCTTAGAGGTGAAACATACTAAAAATTCAAATTAATTGAACAAAAAATGTCAAAGTTACAGAATTTAAGAAAATGGATGTTTTCTTCTATAAAGCTGAATATGACATGCCTCAACATTTTGACCATTTACTCAAAAACTACTTGAGGCACAAATATGACATTTTGAGGTGATATTTTTGAGGCTTAGAAGCACAACATACCGAAATTCAAATCAATTGAACGAAAAATGTCAAAGTTGCAGAATTTAAGAAAATTGATATTTTCTTTTATAAAGCTGAATATGACATGCCTCTACAATTGGACCATTTACGCAAAAACTACTTGAGGCACAAACATGACATTTTGAGGTGATATTATTAAGGCTTAGAGGTAAAACATACTAAAAATTCAAATTAATTGAACAAAAAATGTCAAAGTTACAGAATTTAAGAAAATGGATATTTTCTTCTATAAAGCTGAATATGACATGCCTCTACATTTTGACCATTCACTCAAAAACTACTTGAGGTACAAACATGACATTTTGAGATAATATTTTTGAGGCTTAGTGGCAAAACATACTAAAAATTCAAATTAATTGAACAAAAAATGTCAAAGTTACAGAATTTAAGAAAATGGATGTTTTCTTCTATAAAGCTGAATATGACATGCCTCAACATTTTGACCATTTACTCAAAAACTGCTTGAGGTACAAACATGACATTTTGAGATAATATTTTTGAGGCTTAGTGGCAAAACATACTAAAAATTCAAATTAATTGAACAAAAAATGTCAAAGTTACAGAATTTAAGAAAATGGATGTTTTCTTCTATAAAGCTGAATATGACATGCCTCAACATTTTGACCATTTACTCAAAAACTACTTGAGGTACAAACATGACATTTTGAGGTGATATTTTTGAGGCTTAGAAGCACAACATACCGAAATTCAAATCAATTGAACGAAAAATGTCAAAGTTGCAGAATTTAAGAAAATTGATATTTTCTTTTATAAAGCTGAATATGACATGCCTCTACATTTTGACCATTTACGCAAAAACTACTTGAGGCACAAACATGACATTTTGAGGCGATATTATTAAGGCTTAGAGGTAAAACATACTAAAAATTCAAATTAATTGAACAAAAAATGTCAAAGTTACAGAATTTAAGAAAATGGATATTTTCTTCTATAAAGCTGAATATGACATGCCTCTACATTTTGACCATTCACTCAAAAACTACTTGAGGTACAAACATGACATTTTGAGGTGATATTTTTGAGGCTTAGAGGCAAAACATACCGAAAATTCAAATTAATTGAACGAAAAATGTCAAAGTTACAGAATTTAAGAAAATGGATATTTTCTTTTATAAAGCTGAATATGACATGCCTCTACATTTTGACCATTTACGCAAAAACTACTTGAGGCACAAATATGACATTTTGAGGTGATATTATTGAGGCTTAGAGGTAAAACATACTAAAAATTCAAATCAACTGCACAAAAAATGTCAAAGTTACAGAATTTAAGAAAATGGATATTTTCTTCTATAAAAATGAATATGACATGCCTCAACATTTTGACCATTTACTCAAAAACTACTTGAAGTACAAACATGACATTTTGAGGTGATATTTTTGAAGCTTAGAGGCACAACATACTGAAAATTCAAATCAATTGAACAAAAAATGTCAAAGTTACAGAATTTAAGAAAATGGATATTTTCTTCTATAAAAATGAATATGATATGCCTCAACATTTTGACCATTTAATCAAAAACTACTTGAGGTACAAACATGACATTTTGAGGTGATATTTTTGAGGCTTAGAGGCAAAACATACCGAAAATTCAAATTAATTGAACGAAAAATGTCAAAGTTACAGAATTTAAGAAAATGGATATTTTCTTCTATAAAAATGAATATGACATGCCTCAACATTCTGACCATTTACTCAAAAACTACTTGAGGTACAAACATGACATTTTGAGGTGATATTTTTGAGGTTTAGAGGCAAAACATACTAAAAATTTAAATCAATTGAACAAAAAATGTCAAAGTAACAGAATTTAAGAAAATGGATATTTTCTTCTATAAAGCTGAATATGACATACCTCTATATTTTGACCATTTACTCAAAAACTACTTGAGGTACAAACATGACATTTTGAGGTGATATTTTTGAGGTTTAGAGGCAAAACATACTAAAAATTTAAATCAATTGAAAGAAAAATATCAAAGTTACAGAATTTAAGAAAATGGATGTTTTCTTCTATAAAGCTGAATATGACATGCCTCTACATTTTGACCATTTACTCAAAAACTGCTTGAGGTACAAACATGACATTTTGAGGTGATATTTTTGAGGCTTAGAGGCAAAACATACTAAAAATTCAAATGAATTGAACGAAAAATGTCAAAGTTACAGAATTTAAGAAAATGGATATTTTCTTTTATAAAAATGAATATGACATGCCTCAACATTTTGACCATTTACTCAAAAACTGCTTGAGGTACAAACATGACATTTTGAGATAATATTTTTGAGGCTTAGTGGCAAAACATACTAAAAATTCAAATCAATTGAACAAAAAATGTCAAAGTAACAGAATTTAAGAAAATGGATATTTTCTTCTATAAAGCTGAATATGACATACCTCTATATTTTGACCATTTACTCAAAAACTACTTGAGGTACAAACATGACATTTTGAGGTGATATTTTTGAGGTTTAGAGGCAAAACATACTAAAAATTTAAATCAATTGAAAGAAAAATATCAAAGTTACAGAATTTAAGAAAATGGATGTTTTCTTCTATAAAGCTAAATTTGACATGCCTCTACATTTTGACCATTTACTCAAAAACTACTTGAAGTACAAACATGACATTTTGAGGTGATATTTTTGAGGCTTAGAGGTAAAACATACTAAAAATTCAAATGAATTGAACGAAAAATGTCAAAGTTACAGAATTTAAGAAAATGGATATTTTCTTCTATAAAGCTGAATATGACATGCCTCTACATTTTGACCATTTACTCAAAAACTGCTTGAGGTACAAACATGACATTTTGAGATAATATTTTTGAGGCTTAAGGGCACAACACACCAAAAATTCAAATCAATTGAACGAAAAATGTCAAAGTTACAGAATTTAAGAAAATGGATATTTTCCTCTATAAAGCTGAATATGACATGCCTCTACATTTTGACCATTTACTCAAAAACTACTTGAGGCACAAACATGACATTTTGAGGTAATATTTTTGAGGCTTGGAGGCAAAACATACTAAAAATTCAAATTAATTGAACAAAAAATGTCAAAGTTACAGAATTTAAGAAAATGGATGTTTTCTTCTATAAAGCTGAATATGACATGCCTCTACATTTTGACCATTCACTCAAAAACTACTTGAGGTACAAACATGACATTTTGAGGTGATATTTTTAAGGCTCAGAGGCACAACATACCGAAAATTCAAATCAATTGGACAAAAAATGTCAAAGTTACAGAATTTAAGAAAATGGATATTTTCTTCTATAAAGCTGAATATGACATGCCTCTACATTTTGACCATTCACTCAAAAACTACTTGAGGTACAAACATGACATTTTCAGGTGATATTTTTGAAGCTTAGAGGCACAACATACCAAAAATTCAAATCAATTGAACAAAAAATGTCAAAGTAACAGAATTTAAGAAAATGGATATTTTCTTCTATAAAGCTGAATATGACATACCTCTATATTTTGACCATTTACTCAAAAACTACTTGAAGCACAAATATGACATTTTGAGGTGATATTATTGAGGCTTAGAGGTAAAACATACTAAAAATTCAAATCAACTGAACAAAAAATGTCAAAGTTACAGAATTTAAGAAAATGGATATTTTCTTCTATAAAAATGAATATGACATGCCTCAACATTTTGACCATTTACTCAAAAACTGCTTGAGGTACAAACATGACATTTTGAGATAATATTTTTGAGGCTTAGTGGCAAAACATACTAAAAATTCAAATGAATTGAACGAAAAATGTCAAAGTTACAGAATTTAAGAAAATGGATATTTTTTTCTATAAAGCTGAATATGAAATGCCTCTACATTTTGACCATTTACTCAAAAACTACTTGAGGTACAAACATGACATTTTGAGGTGATATTTTTGAGGCTTAGAGGCAAAACATACCGAAAATTCAAATTAATTGAACGAAAAATGTCAAAGTTACAGAATTTAAGAAAATGGATATTTTCTTCTATAAAGCTGAATATGACATGCCTCAACATTTTGACCATTTACTCAAAAACTACTTGAAGTACAAACATGACATTTTGAGGTGATATTTTTGAAGCTTAGAGGCACAACATACTGAAAATTCAAATCAATTGAACAAAAAATGTCAAAGTTACAGAATTTAAGAAAATGGATATTTTCTTCTATAAAAATGAATATGACATGCCTCAACATTTTGACCATTTACTCAAAAACTACTTCAAGTACAAACATGACATTTTGAGGTGATATTTTTGAAGCTTAGAGGCACAACATACTGAAAATTCAAATCAATTGAACAAAAAATGTCAAAGTTACAGAATTTAAGAAATAGGATATTTTCTTCTATAAAAATGAATATGACATGCCTCAACATTTTGACCATTTAATCAAAAACTACTTGAGGTACAAACATGACATTTTGAGGTAATATTTTTGAGGCTTAGAGGCGAAACATAATAAAAATTCAAATCAATTGAACCAAAAATTGTGTAGTTACAAGATTTTTAAAATTAAACATTTTCTTCCATAAAACTAAATATGACTTACCTCCATATTTTAACCATTTACTCAAAAATTACTTGAGAAACGAATATGAAATTTTGAGAGAATATTTTTGAGGCTGGGTGGCAAAACATACTAAAAATTCAAATGGATTGAACCAGAAATAACAAAGTTACAAAATTTGTAAAATTTAACATTTTTTTTTATAAGACTAGTGATAGGACATGCCTTTACATTTTTACCATTTACTCAACCTTTTACCTGAAATTTTATTTGATTTCACTGCAATTACACGTCATTTTTTGAAATTCTGCATAATTTCATTGAAATTTCGCTGGAATTTTGCATAATTTCAATATAATTTAACCCAACTTCATTGTAATTTGCATAATTTCAATAAAACTCAGCATAATTTCTATAAATTCAACGATTGTTTTTTTGAAATGTGACATCATTTGCATCCAACTCTTCTGCAATTCAAGTTCATTTTTGAAAATTTCATGTAATTTCGATAAAACAAATTTCTAATTATCAAAAGCCTGAAAATCCAATAATACTTACGTATGCCTACAAGGTATCAACCGAACAGTCGCCTTTTTATCATAACAAAGCGTACAACTATCCTCCCCTATATTCTGCTGCCTCAGCTGTTTCAAATAGATATGCCTGGGCAGTACCACCTTTTCCTCTGGCCTCAAATCCCCATGTTCATTGAAAGTACTAAAACCTACAGAGGGCGGAAATTTGAAAGGCTCCGCCCCAAAATTGAACCTACACTGTTGAAATGACATAAAAGAGGCAGCAGCAAAGAATCCATGTCTAAAAAACAAACTTCTTGTAAGTACTAATTTGTTATATAGACAATATAAGATTACTTTGCCATAGTGAAAACATGTACGCTGGGAGGCAACGAGATACCGTTAACAGAAAATACAATTTGTTGATTGTCCAAGTCCAAAAGGCAACCTAAAATCTCTCCAGGTTGCCATCTGGGTAATTTTTGAGGGTCAGATTTGGCATTGTACCATATCAGTCTTCTACAACCGTCATAAGACAATGAAAATCTATCGTCACCAATACCGTAACCTTCCTGAAATAAGCCTCTTATTATAATAGAGCTTGAATTATTATTTCAATTTGAATTATTACATGATTCAAAAAATTACTATTTTTTGTAGCCCAGCCTATTTGCATCACACCTGGAGTTATAATGAGTACTTCGTAGTACCAAATACCTGAGTCAGCTTGAACTGTACAGCGCACACTTTCGAAACTGTAAGCATCACAACGGGCTTCCAAACCATCTGGCGATATTTTGAGGTACTCACTTACATCACTTGTATTGAGCATTGCGTTTATGTGTTCCATGTTAACGGAGAGGTAGGAATAGGTTCTATCTTCAGTCATAACTTAACAAGAGAATTATAGGATTAGTTGATAAAGAGGTTGTTTTTGGTACCTACTTACAAATATTATCTAAAATCCATTGTGCACAAAATCCTGCTTGCCTCTTAACATACTCATTAGTTTCATTTTTCCAAGCCTCCAATACAAGTACAGGGGAAGGATTCAATTGCTTAATCTTTTTCATTATTGAAACTTTGTTCTGACTAGACTGAGCGAATTTTTCCAAGGCAATCAAGCTAAACAAAATCACATTAGGATTTGTTTCAGGTTCTAAATTAGTTAAAAGATAATCAATAACGCCTTCATTTAAAATTTCCATATTCCTAGGCCCTGCTAATTTTTCAGCGATACTACCAAGTACCACACAAGTATTTCTTTGTCTAGTAGGGTCTCGTCTTTCTTTTAAAGCCTTTTGGCGAGATAATTGGAACATGCCTACAACTCTGACTATTGATTCTTTTGAAGGCAAAGGGCAATCGTCCAATAGGAGAGTGATGACTGAGGGGCCCAAAGGGTCAGCTAAAGGTATGACTTTGATCATTGAGTTTACCACTTGGATCCAGCCTTCTTCGTTGTCTGCAATGTTGTGGAGATGGAGCATCGCGCTAGGGGGTTCTTGTTCACTGGAATTGGAAAATTGATTTTTGGATTTTTTTCAAAAATTTCTTATTGTATTAAACTTATTTTTAATTATTGTTATCATGGGAAAATGGACTCCTAACCTTCTTCTTTACATGCGGAAAGTTTCAAAATTTTCCCTTTATTAGTTTTCCAGCAAAACTTTGAATTGTGTGAGAGTGTATTTTCAATTAATTCAGCTAAGTACCTTATGATGTAAATTTTGAGAAACTTTGAAAGGTCATAACTTTTTTTCTATTAAAGATAGAAAGCTGAAATTTTCAGTGATTCTTATTCCACTAGTGAATTATAATCATTTGGACTTATAGTTCCTGAGATAAAATCGCGTTAAGCAATTTGGGGTGATTTATCAATTTTTCAATTTTTCTGAGTGCCTTTTTCCATGGATTTCGGCTTCAAATCTGGGAATAACTTAGTGTATGGAGTTCGAGGGATATCAAATGACTAGTAGAACACAAAATCTCCAAAAAAAAAAAAATTTGAATTTTCATCGTTTTAGTAAGAAGGTACCTACCTTATGATTTAGATTTTGGAAAACTTTGACAGGTGATAACTTTTTTTCTATTATAGATAGAAAGCTGAAATTTTCAGCGATTCCTATTCCAGTAGAGGATTACAATCCCTGAAAATTTCAGCTCATTTGGACTTATAGTTCCTGAGATAAAATCGCGTTAAGCAATTTGGGGTGATTTATCAATTTTTCAATTTTTCTGAGTGCCTTTTTCCATGGATTTCGGCTTCAAATCTGGGAATAACTTAGTGTATGGAGTTCGAGGGATATCAAATGACTAGTAGAACACAAAATCTCCAAAAAAAAAAAAATTTGAATTTTCATCGTTTTAGTAAGAAGGTACCTACCTTATGATTTAGATTTTGGAAAACTTTGACAGGTGATAACTTTTTTTCTATTATAGATAGAAAGCTGAAATTTTCAGCGATTCCTATTCCAGTAGAGGATTACAATCCCTGAAAATTTCAGCTCATTTGGACTTATAGTTCCTGAGATAAAATCGCGTTAAGCAATTTGGGGTGATTTATCAATTTTTCAATTTTTCTGAGTGCCTTTTTCCATGGATTTCGGCTTCAAATCTGGGAATAACTTAGTGTATGGAGTTCGAGGGATATCAAATGACTAGTAGAACACAAAATCTCCAAAAAAAAAAAAAATTTGAATTTTCATCGTTTTAGTAAGAAGGTACCTACCTTATGATTTAGATTTTGGAAAACTTTGACAGGTGATAACTTTTTTTCTATTATAGATAGAAAGCTGAAATTTTCAGTGCTTCTTATTTCACTAGTGGATTATAATCCCTGAAAATTTCAACTTATTTGGACTTATAGTTCCTGAGATAAAATCGCGTTAAGCAATTTGGGGTGATTTATCAATTTTTCAATTTTTCTGAGTGCCTTTTTCCATGGATTTCGGCTTCAAATCTGGGAATAACTTAGTGTATGGAGTTCGAGGGATATCAAATGACTAGTAGAACACAAAATCTCAACAAAAAAAAATTTGAAATTTCATCGTTTTAGTAAGAAGGTAGGTACCTTATGATTTAGATTTTGGAAAACTTTGACATGTCATAACTTTTTTTCTATTATAGATAGAAAGCTGAAATTTTCAGCGATTCCTATTCCAGTAGAGGATTACAATCCCTAAAAATTTCAGCTCATTTGGACTTATAGTTCCTGAGATAAAATCGCGTTAAGCAATTTGGGGTGATTTATCAATTTTTCAATTTTTCTGAGTGCCTTTTTCCATGGATTTCGGCTTCAAATCTGGGAATAACTTAGTGTATGGAGCTCGAGGGATATCAAATGACTAGTAGAACACAAAATCTCCAAAAAAAAAAAATTTGAAATTTCATCGTTTTAGTAAGAAGGTAGGTACCTTATGATTTAGATTTTGGAAAACTTTGACATGTCATAACTTTTTTTCTATTATAGATAGAAAGCTGAAATTTTCAGCGATTCCTATTCCAGTAGAGGATTACAATCCCTGAAAATTTCAGCTCATTTGGACTTATAGTTCCTGAGATAAAATCGCGTTAAGCAATTTGGGGTGATTTATCAATTTTTCAATTTTTCTGAGTGCCTTTTTCCATGGATTTCGGCTTCAAATCTGGGAATAACTTAGTGTATGGAGCTCGAGGGATATCAAATGACTAGTAGAACACAAAATCTCCAAAAAAAAAAAATTTGAATTTTCATCGTTTTAGTAAGAAGGTAGGTACCTTATGATTTAGATTTTGGAAAACTTTGACATGTCATAACTTTTTTTCTATTATAGATAGAAAGCTGAAATTTTCAGCGATTCCTATTCCAGTAGAGGATTACAATCCCTAAAAATTTCAGCTCATTTGGACTTATAGTTCCTGAGATAAAATCGCGTTAAGCAATTTGGGGTGATTTATCAATTTTTCAATTTTTCTGAGTGCCTTTTTCCATGGATTTCGGCTTCAAATCTGGGAATAACTTAGTGTATGGAGTTCGAGGGATATCAAATGACTAGTAGAACACAAAATCTCCAAAAAAAAAAAAATTTGAATTTTCATCGTTTTAGTAAGAAGGTACCTACCTTATGATTTAGATTTTGGAAAACTTTGACAGGTGATAACTTTTTTTCTATTATAGATAGAAAGCTGAAATTTTCAGCGATTCCTATTCCAGTAGAGGATTACAATCCCTGAAAATTTCAGCTCATTTGGACTTATAGTTCCTGAGATAAAATCGCGTTAAGCAATTTGGGGTGATTTATCAATTTTTCAATTTTTCTGAGTGCCTTTTTCCATGGATTTCGGCTTCAAATCTGGGAATAACTTAGTGTATGGAGTTCGAGGGATATCAAATGACTAGTAGAACACAAAATCTCAACAAAAAAAAATTTGAAATTTCATCGTTTTAGTAAGAAGGTAGGTACCTTATGATTTAGATTTTGGAAAACTTTGACATGTCATAACTTTTTTTCTATTATAGATAGACAGCTGAAATTTTCAGCGATTCTTATTCCAGTAGAGGATTACAATCCCTGAAAATTTCAGCTCATTTGGACTTATAGTTCCTGAGATAAAATCGCGTTAAGCAATTTGGGGTGATTTATCAATTTTTCAATTTTTCTGAGTGCCTTTTTCCATGGATTTCGGCTTCAAATCTGGGAATAACTTGGTGTATGGAGTTCGAGGGATATCAAATGACTAATAGAACACAAAATCTCAACAAAAAAAAATTTGAATTTTCATCGTTTTAGTAAGAAGGTAGGAACCTTATGATTTAGATTTTGGAAAACTTTGACATGTCATAACTTTTTTTCTATTATAGATAGAAAGCTGAAATTTTCAGTGATTCTTATTCCACTAGTGGATTATAATCCCTGAAAATTTCAACTCATTTGGACTTATAGTTCCTGAGATAAAATCGCGTTAAGCAATTTGGGGTGATTTATCAATTTTTCAATTTTTCTGAGTGCTTTTTTCCATGGATTTCGGCTTCAAATCTGGGAATAACTTAGTGTATGGAGTTCGAGGGATATCAAATGACTAGTAGAACACAAAATCTCCAAAAAAAAAAAAATTTGAATTTTCATCGTTTTAGTAAGAAGGTACCTACCTTATGATTTAGATTTTGGAAAACTTTGACAAGTGATAACTTTTTTTCTATTATAGATAGAAAGCTGAAATTTTCAGTGATTCTTATTCCACTAGTGGATTATAATCCCTGAAAATTTCAACTCCTTTGGACTTATAGTTCCTGAGATAAAATCGCGTTAAGCAATTTGGGATGATTTATCAATTTTTCAATTTTTCTGAGTGCCTTTTTCCATGGATTTCGGCTTCAAATCTGGGAATAACTTAGTGTATGGAGTTCGAGGGATATCAAATGACTAGTAGAACACAAAATCTCCAAAAAAAAAAAAATTTGAATTTTCATCGTTTTAGTAAGAAGGTACCTACCTTATGATTTAGATTTTGGAAAACTTTGACAGGTGATAACTTTTTTTCTATTATAGATAGAAAGCTGAAATTTTCAGCGATTCCTATTCCAGTAGAGGATTACAATCCCTGAAAATTTCAGCTCATTTGGACTTATAGTTCCTGAGATAAAATCGCGTTAAGCAATTTGGGGTGATTTATCAATTTTTCAATTTTTCTGAGTGCCTTTTTCCATGGATTTCGGCTTCAAATCTGGGAATAACTTAGTGTATGGAGTCGAGGGATATCAAATGACTAGTACAACACAAAATCTCCAAAAAAAAAAAATTTGAATTTTCATCGTTTTAGTAAGAAGGTACCTACCTTATGATTTAGATTTTGGAAAACTTTGACAAGTGATAACTTTTTTTCTATTATAGATAGAAAGCTGAAATTTTCAGTGATTCTTATTCCACTAGTGGATTATAATCCCTGAAAATTTCAACTCATTTGGACTTATAGTTCCTGAGATAAAATCGCGTTAAGCAATTTGGGGTGATTTATCAATTTTTCAATTTTTCTGAGTGCCTTTTTCCATGGATTTCGGCTTCAAATCTGGGAATAACTTAGTGTATGGAGTTCGAGGGATATCAAATGACTAGTACAACACAAAATCTCCAAAAAAAAAAAATTTGAATTTTCATCGTTTTAGTAAGAAGGTACCTACCTTATGATTTAGATTTTGGAAAACTTTGACAGGTGATAACTTTTTTTCTATTATAGATAGAAAGCTGAAATTTTCAGCGATTCCTATTCCACTAGTGGATTATAATCCCTGAAAATTTCAACTCATTTGGACTTATAGTTCCTGAGATAAAATCGTGTTAAGCAATTTGGGGTGATTTATCAGTTTTTCAATTTTTCTGAGTGCCTTTTTCCATGGATTTCGGCTTCAAATCTGGGAATAACTTAGTGTATGGAGTTCGAGGGATATCAAATGACTAGTAGAACACAAAATCTCAGCAAAAAAAAATTTGAATTTTCATCGTTTTAGTAAGAAGGTACCTACCTTATGATTTAGATTTTGGAAAATTTTGACAAGTGATAACTTTTTTTCTATTATAGATAGAAAGCTGAAATTTTCAGTGATTCTTATTCCACTAGTGGATTATAATCCCCGAAAATTTCAACTCATTTGGACTTATAGTTCCTGAGATAAAATCGCGTTAAGCAATTTGGGGTGATTTATCAATTTTTCAATTTTTCTGAGTGCCTTTTTCCATGGATTTCGGCTTCAAATCTGGGAATAACTTAGTGTATGGAGTTCGAGGGATATCAAATGACTAGTACAACACAAAATCTCCAAAAAAAAAAAATTTGAATTTTCATCGTTTTAGTAAGAAGGTACCTACCTTATGATTTAGATTTTGGAAAACTTTGACAAGTGATAACTTTTTTTCTATTATAGATAGAAAGCTGAAATTTTCAGTGATTCTTATTCCACTAGTGGATTATAATCCCTGAAAATTTCAACTCCTTTGGACTTATAGTTCCTGAGATAAAATCGCGTTAAGCAATTTGGGGTGATTTATCAATTTTTCAATTTTTCTGAGTGCCTTTTTCCATGGATTTCGGCTTCAAATCTGGGAATAACTTAGTGTATGGAGTTCGAGGGATATCAAATGACTAGTAGAACACAAAATCTCAGCAAAAAAAAATTTGAAATTTCATCGTTTTAGTAGGAAGGTACCTACCTTATGATTTAGATTTTGGAAAACTTTGACAAGTGATAACTTTTTTTCTATTATAGATAGAAAGCTGAAATTTTCAGTGATTCTTATTCCACTAGTGGATTATAATCCCCGAAAATTTCAACTCATTTGGACTTATAGTTCCTGAGATAAAATCGCGTTAAGCAATTTGGGGTGATTTATCAATTTTTCAATTTTTCTGAGTGCCTTTTTCCATGGATTTCGGCTTCAAATCTGGGAATAACTTAGTGTATGGAGATCAAGGGATATCAAATGACTAGTAGAACACAAAATCTCCAAAAAAAAAAATTTAAATTTTCATCGTTTTAGTAAGAAGGTAGGTACCTTATGATTTAGATTTTGGAAAACTTTGACATCTCATAACTTTCTTTCTATTATAGATAGAAAGCTGAAATTTTCAGTGATTCTTATTCCACTAGTGGATTATAATCCCTGAAAATTTCAACTCATTTGGACTTATAGTTCCTGAGATAAAATCGTGTTAAGCAATTTGGGGTGATTTATCAGTTTTTCAATTTTTCTGAGTGCCTTTTTCCATGGATTTCGGCTTCAAATCTGGGAATAACTTAGTGTATGGAGTTCGAGGGATATCAAATGACTAGTAGAACACAAAATCTCAGCAAAAAAAAATTTGAAATTTCATCGTTTTAGTAGGAAGGTACCTACCTTATGATTTAGATTTTGGAAAACTTTGACAAGTGATAACTTTTTTTCTATTATAGATAGAAAGCTGAAATTTTCAGCGATTCCTATTCCAGTAGAGGATTACAATCCCTGAAAATTTCAGCTCATTTGGACTTATAGTTCCTGAGATAAAATCGCGTTAAGCAATTTGGGGTGATTTATCAATTTTTCAATTTTTCTGAGTGCCTTTTTCCATGGATTTCGGCTTCAAATCTGGGAATAACTTAGTGTATGGAGCTCGAGGGATATCAAATGACTAGTAGAACACAAAATCTCCAAAAAAAAAAATTTGAAATTTCATCGTTTTAGTAAGAAGGTAGGTACCTTATGATTTAGATTTTGGAAAACTTTGACATGTCATAACTTTTTTTCTATTATAGATAGAAAGCTGAAATTTTCAGTGATTCTTATTCCACTAGTGGATTATAATCCCTGAAAATTTCAACTCATTTGGACTTATAGTTCCTGAGATAAAATCGTGTTAAGCAATTTGGGGTGTGAGACAATATTTTTTTCAATTAATTCAGTTATTGTAGGCTGATTTCCAAGATTCTTCATGTTATTATTTTCCACAGAAAAATGAGCCTCTATTCTTTCTCTTCACATACAAAAAGTTTAAAATTTTTCCCTTCAGTAGTTTTCCAGGAAAGTCTTACCTCTAGAACTTTAATTCCAAATAAGACAAAATTTTTAGACAACTTTACTACAACTACATTTCCAGGAAATTGTAGTCCTACAAAAAATGCCTTAATATAGATTAAGTAACTTGTTTCTTATCAATTCTTTTCTATTAACCAACCTCTTATCTAATCAATTCAAGTGAATACTTAAAGCAAGAATTTTATCAAAAATAGATTGTGCAATTCCAATATAACTTTTCCAGGAATTCTACCAACATAACAAGGAAACAATTGTAAATATTGATCCAATTCTTACTTATCCACCAAGGTTTCAATGACTCCCAAAGTATCCAGAATCAATTTGTCCACCAAAACAGGATCTGGTGCCCTACTGGCTTCAAATTTGGGCGCAGCCCTGGACACTGGCGAGGGCAAAGAAGGCAGTACCGCACTGATTTCAGGACGTACCGCTACCGCTGCTATTTGGGGCACGTACCGGTCCTGCTCTTCGGTTTTCTTTTTGCACCAGCACATACCCATACCTTCTACCCTTTGGTTGCTTTTGTAAAAAAGGGGTTCAAATCTCAGCTACATTTGGTTAATGTGGGTCTAGTTTTCACTAAAAGGGGCTGATTTTGACTAGTCATTAGAGGGGGCACTTTTTGTCTGTCACTGATACATATTTTTTCAAGTTTTAATTTAAATATAAATAAATTGAAAATAAAATTAAGTTCTATATTTATAGGATTTTGGAAAATAATAAACTTTGTTGACAATAGATTGTCAATAATAATGGCGCATTCATTTAACAACCATTATATAGCTATCTTTGTTATTTCCCATGTATTAAACAAAGATAGACATTGCTATGAGTGATGTAGTAAAATTATTTTATAAGTTTGGCAACATTGTAATTTGCTACGTTGTGACAGATAAAGCCCCCATTACACATCACATCAAAATGAATAAAGGTAAATATACACTAGTACGCACTAGATTTTGAGGTTATAAAAATTATCTTTTATCTTCCAAGTGCAATCAAATCCCATCAAAAATGGTAGAAGAAGGTGAAAGCAAAAAAGCAGCTAAAAAAGAAGCGAAAAAGGCAGAAAAAGCAGCCAAAAAGGCCGAACACAAGGCAACAAACCCTAGCGAAACCCCAACTTCAGCCAGTGAAGAAGTTGATGTCTCTAAAGGCAAATATGGTAACTTGCCCATGATCCAATCTGACCCTACAGCCCCTAAGCTTACCTTCACTTATATCAAAGACTTAAATGAATCTTTACAAGGGCAAAATGTTTGGGTAAGGGCCAGGCTACATACAAGCCGTGCCAGAGGCAAACAATGTTTCATCATACTGAGACAACGCGAGTTTACTGTACAAGTATTGGTCAATGTGTCTGAAACTGTTTCTAAGGCTATGGTCAAGTTTTCCAGCAAGTAAGTAACTAGTTTTATAAACAGACCTATTATATCAAATTTCTCTTCTAGTGTATCCAAAGAAAGTATCATTGATGTAGCTGCAAAAGTAGCCAAAGTGCCTTCAGCTGTAGCCGGTTGCAGCCAAAGTGACGTGGAACTTGTAGCTTCTGAACTGTGGGTGGTTTCAGCTTCAATGCCCCAATTGCCTTTGCAAATTGAAGATGCCAGTCGGCCAGAAAAGCCTGGAGTAAGGATTTTGTTCAAAGGAAATTCTTGTATACCTGGGCTAGGACTTTGTAGAGATTGTTATGTTTGACATTTGCTGTCTTCTTTTTTCTTTTTGAAATCAATAGAGAGAGAGGATGTCAATAGAAATAACAGAGTCCCAGCCCTGGTGAATATACATATAGGTAGTTTTTTTTCCAGGGTTGCAGATTTAAAATTTGATTTTTTGACATCAAAATCAGTATTTTAAAATATTAATGATAATTAAAATAAATTCACACAAGAAGTTTTCTACCTTGTTAATCAATGTACAAATTACTGGTAAATACTTATACGTCAATACTTGTTAATATGTAGGTAATATGTTTCAATACTTGTAAATATCTAGACATTATGTGTTAATAACATATAAATACCAAATATGTGATTTTAGTCTGTCAATGGCATGGCAATACCTGGTACTATGTGAGGGAAATACCTGGCAATATGTGGAAATACTTTGTTATTACATGGAAATAGTTGTACTACATAGAAATATGTGTTAATACATGGAAATATCAGTGTACAAATTTTGTTAGGTGAAACACCCCTCAGATACACATACCTATATGTCATATTCTAATGCATTTCATAGGAAAATGAACCAACTATAAGCTAGATATATACAGGATCTCAACTTTTTCATAGGGACAGCATTGCTATTTCAGGAACGGTTAAAGAAGTTACGAGGGCGTTTAAATTAGAAAAAAGAACATTTTTGAAGGATATGAAAAAAATAATACTTCTGAGTATGAATTATGTCTTTAAAAGCAATAGATTTTAAAATATTTGATAAAATTATTTTTGCTTATTTTCAAAAATCACCCTGTATTTGAGAAACTAATAGAAATTTGGCAACAACGAAAATATATTTTAAATATTCTTCAAAAATGGCAACTTTTTTCTAATTTATTTGCACCATCTCTCTTAACTGAGGCTTAACGATAACTATCCCTTAAATTGACAGTTTTGCATGGGAAAATGTCACTTTAAGGAATAGTTATCTCTAAGCCTCGGTTGAGAGAGACGGTGCAACCCACTATTAAACGCCCTCTTAACTTTAACCGTTCCCGAGATAGCAATACTGTCCCTATGAAATAATTGGACCCTGTATAGGAAATAAAATAAAAAGTATCATGAGCAATAAGGAAACCAGGGCTGGGACTCTGTAATGAATAGAAATCCTTATACCCATAACTATATATAGCTCAATAGAGAGGCGATGTCAATAGAGATAGAGAAAATACATATCTCTATTTTCAATAGAGTTCTAGCCCAGGGCGTTTAGATCTTTGGTTTCTACAGAAAAATATAAAATTAAATTAAATTTATTTATTGATTTTCAAGATTTTTCATGTTACTATTTATTTTCCACTGGAAAAATTTGAAATTTTGAGAAAATGAGCCTCTAACCTTCCTCTTTACATGCAAAAAGTTTCAAAATTTTGACTCTATTAGTTTTCCAGGAAAACTTTGAAATGTGTGATACTGTATTTTCAATTAATTCAGCTTTTGTAGGCCTAATTTCCAAGATTCTTCAGGTTGTTATTTTCCACAGGAAATTTCTGAAATTTTGGGAAAATGAACTCCTAACCTTCCTCTTTACATGCAAAAAGTTTCAAAATTTTCCCTCTACTAGTTCTTCAGAAAAACCTTGAAATGTGTGAGACTGTATTTTCAATTAATTCAGGTTTTGTAGGCTAATTTCCAAGATTCTTCAGGTTGCTATTTTCCACAGGAAATTTCTGAAATTTTGGGAAAATGAGCTCATAACCTTCCTCTTTACATGCAAAAAGTTTCAAAATTTTCCCTCTACTAGTTCTTCAGAAAAACTTTGAAATGTGTGTTACTGTATTTTCAATTAATTCAGTTATTGTAGGCCGATTTCCAAGATTCTTCATGTAGTTATTTTCTACTGGAAAAATTTGAAATTTTGGGAAATTGAGCCTCTAACCTCCCCCTTTACATACAAAATTTTCCCCTTATTAGTTTTCCAGGAAAGCGATGAAATATGCGACACCTTACAACTTAGAAATCAATATTGAATATTGAATAATAGTAAGAGTTAATGGGGGTTCTGTGCCAAGAAAGAGATGAGACAAGGAGACACTCCACCTATTGTGCTCTCTATTTCCCTATTAGGTCACTCAAGATACTACTTACACAACCATCCACCTACCACAATCTATATTCCCCTACTGGGTCACTCAAGGTACCTATAGTTATTTACAAAGTCGGTTGAAACAAGGTAAAGGTAAATTACAACTGGTGACTGAATATTTTCATAAGAAATGCACTGCCATCAGACAGCCACCAGTTGCAAATTATCTTTACCCTGTTTCAACTGACTTTGTAAATACTATACTACACATAACCATCCCCCTACCCCAGCATAGTATCCCCCTACCGCACTCTCAAGAAAATACATACAATGTTTCGATTTCAAGCAATCCTTTTTCCGAGTCAGATGAAAACCAGCTGAAACCATCAAAATGCAGAACAAAACCAGTGAAAGCCAGCTAAACCAGCATAAAACCAGCAAAATCCAACACAAACCCAGTGAGAACCAGCACAAAACCAGCAAAATTCAGCACAAAACCAACATAAAACATAGGGGGATGGTTGTGTGTAGTATCTTGGCCTAGAACCCCCATATGAACTACCTACTGGCGATATTTCAAAATCAGGTGATTTGAATCAATGCAACCCTGCTTTTTTTCTCACAAAATCACTTAAAACTCAGTTAATACATAAATTCCACAACTTTCTCTTATTTCAGGAAGAAGATTCTTTGAACATCAAAGTCAACCAAGACACCAGATTGGACAACAGATTTCTAGATTTGAGAACTGCAACAAACCAGGCCATTTTCAGATTAGAGGCCGGAGTTTGCAAACTGTTCCGCGACTCTTTAACCAATAAAGGTTTTGTAGAAATACACACTCCGAAGATCATTTCTGCAGCTTCTGAAGGCGGTGCCAATGTCTTCACTGTCAGCTACTTCAAAAGTAAGCCATAATCATCATGTTCCAACAGACAGGAACCAGTAATTTCCACCTACTTTTCAATAAGTTGAATGTTTGACTGCAAATTATAGGTTTAGAATGGTTCTCATGTCATTTGGAACGGAGTTATTGTAATTTTTAAACAATTTCTCTGTTTAGGTTCTGCATATTTGGCTCAAAGTCCCCAGCTCTACAAACAAATGGCAATTGCTGCAGACTTTGACAAAGTTTACACAATCGGAGCTGTTTTTAGAGCCGAAGACTCCAACACTCACAGACATTTAACTGAATTCACTGGGCTAGATTTGGAAATGGCCTTCCAACATCATTACCATGAAGTCATGCTGACTATTGGCAACTTGTTTACTGAAATCTTCAAGGGCCTACGAGATCAGTAAGAATTTCAATGTAAAATGTGACTTTAACAATAAATAATAACTATTTCATTATTATAGATATTCAAAAGAGATATCATTGGTCAATCAACAATATCCTGCTGAACCGTTTACCTTTCTAGAACCTCCATTGGTTTTACAATATCAAAACGCCAGAAAAATGTTAAAGGAACATGGAGTTGAAATAGGTGAAGAGGAAGATTTGAGCACCCCAGTTGAAAAACTCCTGGGCAGAATAGTAAAGGCCAAATATGATACAGACTTTTACATTTTGGACAAATACCCTTTGGCTGTAAGACCGTTTTACACCATGCCTGATCCTCAAAATCCAAAGTCCTCAAACTCTTATGACATGTTTATGAGAGGCGAAGAAATTCTTAGCGGGGCTCAAAGAATACATGATCCTAAGTTTTTGACTGAAAGGGCCAAACATCATGGGATTGATGTGACTAAAATTGCTTCGTACATTGAGGCTTTCAAGTACGGGTGTCCGCCTCATGCCGGGGGCGGAATTGGGCTGGAACGTGTCGTTATGCTGTATTTGGGTTTGGATAATGTTAGGAAAACTTCCATGTTTCCGCGTGATCCTAAAAGAGTCACTCCATAAATTGTGATTGGTTGAAATAAACTATTATTATTCGCAAAAATTTGTTTGTTTTATTACAATGTGGAAATTGGTTGAAATTTTGAGGACTTTTTTCTAATGATTCAATGTGAAAAATACTAAAAACTCAAAGCGATTGAGTTATTATTAATGGAGTTACGATTTTTTTGAAAATAATGATGTTTTGTAAAGTAAGACTTTACAAACAATTTTTTCACTCAAAAACTAAAGTGAGTGGAAAGTTGAGATGGTGAGGACTTTTTCCTAATTATTCAATGTAAAAAATACTAAAAATTCAAAGCGATTGAGTTATTATTAATGGAGTTACGATTTTTTGAAAATAATGATGTTTGTAGAGTAAAACTTTATAAACAATTTTTTCATTCGAAAAGTAAAGTGAGTGGAGAGTTGAAATTTTGAGGACTTTTTCCTAATGATTCAATGTAAAAAATACTAAAAATTCAAACCGATTGAGTTATTATTAATGGAGTTACCATTTTTTGAAAATAATGATGTTTTTTAAAATAAGACTTTACAAACAATTTTTTCACTCAAAAACTAAAGTGAGTGGAAAATTGAAATTTTGAGGACTTTTTCCTGATGATTCAATGTAAAAAATACCAAAAACTCAAAGCGATTGAGTTATTATTAATGGAGTTACGATTTTTTGAAAATAATGGATGTTTTGTGAAGTAAAACTTTACAAACAATTTTTTCACTCAAAAACTAAAGTGAGTGGAGAGTTGAAATTTTGAGGACTTTTTCCTAATGATTCAGTGTAAAAAATAATAAAAACTCAAAGCGATTGAGTTATTATTAATGGAGTTACGATTTTTTGAAAATAATGATGTTTTGTAAAGTAAGACTTTACAAACATTTTTTTCACTCAAAAACTAAAGTGAGTAGAAAGTTGAAATTTTGAAGACTTTTTCCTAATGATTCAATGTAAAAAATACCTAAAACTCAAAGCGATTGAGTTATTATTAATGGAGTTACAATTTTTTGAAAATAATGTGATTTTGTAAAGTAATACTCTACAAATAATTTTTTCACTCAAAAACTAAAGTGAGTGGAAAGTTGAAATTTTGAAGACTTTTTTCTAATGATTCAATGTAAAAAATATCTAAAACTCAAAGAGATTGAGTTATTATTAATGGAGTTACAATTTTTTGAAAATAATGTAGTTTTGTAAAGTAATACTCTACAAACAATTTTTTCACTCAAAAACTAAAGTGAGTGGAGAGTTGAAATTTTGAGGACTTTTTCCCAATGATTCAATGTAAAAAAAACTAAAAACTCAAAGCGATTGAGTTATTATTAATGGAGTTACGATTTTTTGAAAATAATGATGTTTTGTAAAGTAAGACTTTACAAACAATTTTTTCACTCAAAAACTAAAGTGAGTAGAAAGTTGAAATTTTGAAGACTTTTTCCTAATGATTCAATGTAAAAAATATCTAAAACTCAAAGAGATTGAGTTATTATTAATGGAGTTACAATTTTTTGAAAATAATGTAGTTTTGTAAAGTAATACTCTACAAACAATTTTTTCACTCAAAAACTAAAGTGAGTGGAAAGTTGAAATTTTGAAGACTTTTTTCTAAAGGCTCAATGTAAAAAATACTGAAAACTCAAAGGGATTGAGTTATTATTAATGGAGTTACGATTTTTTGAAAATAATGATGTTTTGTAAAGTAAGACTTTACAAACAATTTTTTCAAGAGCCGGGAATAGACAAATATTGAGAAATAGAGGGAAGAAATTTAAGAATAAGTTGTTAAGTAAGAAAGGAACATACTGAAAATTCTTATGAAGAAATCAGAATATCATATCAAATACCGCCAGAAAGTCAAGATTTACAATCCTACTTTGTAAGGTCTTGTATTATCAAAGTCCTGTATTATAAGTAGTCCTGTTGAAGTACTATATAGTTCTGTTAAAGTATTGTATAGTTCTTTTGAAGTACTGTTGTATAATCCTATTGAAGTCCTGTAGAATAGGTACTGTTCAAGGTTGAAGTCCTGAGAGTACTAATAGTACCATCAACCCGACAATGACCGAAACCAACCGGGATTTCGCCTTGTCAAAATTAAATTCAAAACTTTTTGTCAGTTACAGTGTGAGGTTAGAATACCTTCAATTTTTTTTTCTAAAATTTAAAAACACAAAAAGACTATAATTTTTCAATAAATGTACACTACAATATATTGAAATGGTAAAATTTAATGTTCTAAAGGGACTGTACGAAACCGAGAAAACTATAGGATGCGGGGGCTTCGCAAAAGTAAAACTGGCCACCCATTTGGCTACCGGAGAAAAGGTTGCCATCAAGATAATGGATAAGAAAATGATGGGCGATGACTTACATAGAGTTACTTTGGAGTTGGACGCTTTGAAAACTTTCCGGCATGATAATATTTGCCAACTTTATCAAGTAAGACTTCAATAATAGGACTATAATACAGTACCTACTTCAACAAGACTATACAGTACTTCAACAAGACTATATAGTATTTCAACAGAACTACCTATACAGTACAGGACGTTTTTTATACAGGACTTTAACAGGACTACCTACACAATACTTTAACAGGACTATACAGTACAGTATTTGAACAGAACTACCTATACACAGTACTTCAACAGGACAAGGTACCTACTTCAATATAATATAGGATTTTAATACGAGAGTTTCTAAACTTCAATTTTATTTTAGGTAATAGAAACTGAAACTCATTTCTTCATTGTAATGGAATACTGCTCAGGAGGAGAACTTTTTGATCACATAGTTGAGAAAAACAGACTTACAGAATCAGAAAGCAGAGGCTTCTTTAGGCAAATTGTAAGCGCTGTTGCTTACCTGCACAGCTTAGGCTATGCCCACAGGGATTTAAAGCCTGTAAGTTCATTAACTTACCACCAAATATAAATAATAAGTTTTTTTTTTTTTAAAAAAGGAAAACGTCCTATTGGACAAACATCAAAACCTCAAGCTGATAGATTTTGGATTGTGTGCTAAGCCAGATGGAGGTATGCAAAGTCCCTTATTTACTTCCTGTGGGAGTCCCACTTACGCCGCCCCTGAACTGATTTTGGGGCAGCAATATTTTGGACAAGAAGTGGACGTTTGGGCCATGGGGGTTTTATTGTACGCCTTATTAGTTGGCAGTTTACCTTTTGATGATTTGAATGTTAATAATTTGTACAAGAAGATTTTGGTAAGTAATAATTTGTTGGCAAAATCTCCAAAAGATTCACTCAAATACCAGTTTTGTTTTAAATACAAAAATCTATCTATCAAATTTCCAATAGATCGTACAGTTATTGCTGGTAGGTAATACAATTTTCTACGTTTCAAATACAGAATTTTTCTTCAAATTTCAAAAAAGTTTGTTGGTAACGCAGTTTTCTTTATTCTAAATACAAAATTCTCCTTTAGTAGATTTCCAAAAGAGTCACTCAAATATGTATAGAAGAGGTCTACCCATAAGTTTTGCAGTAATTTAAATCTACTAATGGCGAATACAGTGGGGAGGCAATTGCCCCCTCTCCAACGACATAGTTATAGCTTTCACATGGGGGGAGTTTAGAGCAGTAATGGCCGCTCATGGTCTATGCTGGAAAGGGTTTCAATTTTAGACTAGACAATGTATAGTACAAGCAAATGTACTCGGCTACCGGGTACAAGTACTTAGCCTAGAATGTTCTCGAATACAGAGTACAATTACAAGTATTCAAAGTACTGTGTACATTTATGAATACATTTTAATACCACCTTGCATTCCTACCCCTCTTTTAAACAGCCTTGATCTATCATGGAAATCTAATGAATTCTCATAGGCTGCAAGCGCTGAGGTAGCTGCGAACTTAGCATTGCATATGGGTTATGACGTCACCTTCCCTTTCACACTTCCGTTACATTTCCCGAAATTCACCATCAAACCTTCAATATAGATGTTCACACATCAAAAATTGAAAAACAAATTTTGGTTTACTAAATGAATTCAGCAATTTAGAAGTTTGATTTGGTTATCCCGAGTCCAGAGTCGGTTATAACTGCACAAATTATAATGTATAATTATATATTCTGAATCAGAATTAAATTATCTTTAAGATAGAATAAGATTCAATTCTCTATCTTAAATACTTCTGGAGATATTGAGGCTCAAAGTCAAAACTTTGTCTCAAATTTCACAAAAAATTCAAAGCTGATTTTCTTGAAAACAAAGCCCTTGAGCTCGAAGTCTCAAATAACCTTTTTCATAGCCCTTCTCAAGAGCTACAATTGGGCACCAGATTCATGCCGATAGCTTCACTGGTTTCCAAAATATGGCCCTTTGAAATATTTGAAAATCAAATTTCCATGCATACCCCTGTGGAAAAATTCAAATTTTTAAATTTTTTGATTTTGAAATTTTTGACTTTATCAATCGAAAGAAGAGGTGAAAATTAGTGGAAAAGCATTTACGCAACTTTGTTTTTTGGGTTTTAGGGCTTGTAAAAAAATAAAAACCGTTTTTCCACATTTTGGGTCCCGAAAAATTCAATAATTTGACATTGTCTCATAAAATTGCTCATTACTCGGTTATAACTGCACATATTATGATGTATAATTATATATTTTGAATCAGAATTAAATTATCTTCAAGATAGAATAAGATTCAATTCTCTATCTTAAATACTTCTGGAGATATTGAAGCTCAAAGTCAAAACTTTGTCTCAAATTTCACAAAAGATTCAAAGCTGATTTTCTTGAAAACAAAGCCCTTGAGCTCGAAGTTTCAAATAACCTTTTTCATAGCCCTTCTCAAGAGCTACAATTGGGCACAAGATTCATGCCGATAGCTTCACTGGTTTCCAAAATATGGCCCTTTGAAATATTTGAAAATCAAATTTCCATGCATACCCCTGTGGAAAAATTCAAATTTTTAAATTTTTGGATTTTGAAATTTTTGACTTTATCAATCGAAAGAAGAGGTGAAAATTAGTGGAAAAGCATTTACGCAACTTTGTTTTTTGGGTTTTAGGGCTTGTAAAAAAATAAAAACCGTTTTTCCACATTTTGGGTCCCGAAAAATTCAATAATCTGACATTGTCTCATAAAATTGCTCATTACTCGGTTATAACTGCACATATTATGATGTATAATTATATATTTTGAATCAGAATTAAATTATCTTCAAGATAGAATAAGATTCAATTCTCTATCTCAAATACTTTTGAAGATATTGAGACTCAAAGTGAAAACTTTGTTTAAAATTTCATAAAAGATTTAAAGCTGCTTTTCTTGAAAACGAAGCCCTTGAGCTCGAAGTCTCAAATAACCTTTTTCATAGCCCTTCTCAAGAGCTACAATTGGGCACAAGATTCATGCCGATAGCTTCACTGGTTTCCAAAATATGGCCCTTTGAAATATTTGAAAATCAAATTTCCATGCATACCCCTGTGGAAAAATTCAAATTTTTAAATTTTTGGATTTTGAAATTTTTGACTTTATCAATCGAAAAAAGAGGTAAAAGGTAGTGGAAAAACATTTACGCAACTTTGTTTTTTGGGTTTTAGGACTTGTAAAAAAATAAAAACCGTTTTTCCACATTTTGGGTCCCGAAAAATTCAATAATCTGACATTGTCTTATAAAATTGCTCATTACTCAGTTATAACTGCACATATTATGATGTTTAATTATATATTTTGAATCAGAATTAAATTATCTTCAAGATAGAATAAGATTCAATTCTCTATCTCAAATACTTTTGAAGATATTGAGACTCAAAGTCAAAACTTTGTTTAAAATTTAAAGTATTTTAACAATCTTAATACATCACTTTTTTGCTGCGGGCGTGGCATATGCCTATTAATACAATGGCCTTGATGTATGATTCACATGGTTCTATTCCATTTCCTGAAAACAACTGGCCCATAAATTTAACCTGCCTTGACTTAGACTAGAACTAACTTCAAATTGTCATCATGTTTTTGTTCCGTTCACCCTGTAATGATCATATCATCGAAATAAATTCCGATTCCTTTAATGTCACCAAATAATTCATAATTTTTACGCTGGAATACCTCAGGAGCTGAGCGTATGCCAAATGGTAACCGTAGAAACTGATACCGTCCAGGAATACTCGAACGTCCCAGAATCCAGGCTAGGTGTATTCTATTTCCTATCTCGTTAGTTTCTGTGATTAGTCTTTTCATAGTTACTGTGTAGTTGATATGTCTATGTAACTCTTTTAGACGATTTGGTCAAAGCACTTTAGTGAGTCCTTGAAAATGATCATGTTTTTCAAATTTTTCCTTAGTATAACATTGGCTGTTTCTGCAGTCAGTACAGATGCATAATTCCTCTTATCAGGGATGTAGATCTCGAAGCCAGCTTTTTTTTTTTAAGCATCTGTGTAGATGAAGTTGTATTTTTTCTTAAGTTTATCAGTCAGTATCCATCAAAAATTGTGATTTAGTAGTCAGCTCTCTTTTTTTGAGGCTAAGGTTATAGTTTCCTAGATTATGTCATATTCAGAGTCTTTTGTATATTTTGTTAAAATACGAGAAGAAACGAGCTAATGTCCGTACAAGGTAAGGACTATGTTGTTCCTCCCAGAACTCTGCATTACGTGCATAGCATTGATGTAATTGTCTAAAAACTAGTATTAATGGGTGGTTGAGTATTGAAATGGGTTTCGTTAGAAATTTGACGGCTAGCCACTTTCTCCTGTATTCTAAGGACATTCATAGGACATTGGTGGAAGTAGATCTCATGCATCCCATACAAATTATCAGTCTTTCATATAGTATACAGTTCAGTTTGTCTTTGTTTTTTATTGAGGTGGGATTTGTAAAGATAGATACAAAATCTAGGTGGGATCTCACCAAAGCATTGAATGCAGTCAAAAAGATTTGTGGGTCCGCTCCTCACCAAACTCTAGCAAAACATTTTATCACATTTTCATCCTCTTTCTTGCTTTATTGGATATATTTTCCTTATGTTTGTCTCATTTTAAATTTTTCTGTAAAATAACTGTCAAGTATTTGACATGCTTTTTATAGGAAATGATTGAACTTCCAATCGCTATGTCTGGGGGAACGCGCACCTTTAGTAAACCAGACTCCCATTTCTGGATTGATGGTTAACTTATTTTCCTTACATCATAATGCCTATTTTTTGCATTACGTGGGACTCAAATAGTAATGTGTTTTCAAATTTATTTTTATCATTAACGCATTTAATTATAGCCCAATCGATCAATATTATCCATAAAAGTTCAAATTTCCCCAAAAAAAAAAATTAAGTCATTTTTTTCCAAAGGGGGTTTACAAACTTTCAAACCTTAATATCTCGGTAACCGTGAGAGGTATCGAGTTGATTTTTTTACCAGATTGTAGCCCTCGTCAAATGCTACAAAAAAGTCTCATACAATAATTAAGTTACAATGCTTAGTTTCGCAGCTACACGGCCTTTAAGTTTTATGCCAAAAGTTGACTAAGCCCTATATCTCCAAAACAACTGAAGGTATTCAATTCAATCTTGTGCCATTTTATAGAGAATTTAATCCTCTTGCCAACTGTATATAGTTTAGTTTGATTTAATTTAGAATTAATGGAGTTATAAGTGATTATTCACTAGCATGTCAGGATTTGGAAAAATTTTCTGGACCAAAAATGAGATTTTTTTTGCTCAAGAGAAAATAGCTTCATTATGATGATTTGAGTGTTGTTTTCGGCTAATTTTGGGCTTCTTTTTTTCAATGGTGAAGTCAAAATTTACGAAAAAAAAAATTCCACCCATCAGAACCCCAGAGAACATTGGAATTGTGCGACCTACGAGAATATTGGAGTTGTCCGACATGAAAATTCAAGGCGCACATTTCGGAAACATGGTGGGACGCTTCTGATTTGCGACTATACCATTTTAAATCTATGAATCCACGATTTCAATAAATTTTTTGACAGAGGGCCACGTATACGCCGGATTTTGTATCAGTTACAATGCCGCAACCATAAACGCGCGTTGCTCGTTCGACCACTGCTCCATGTTTATTGATGATCCGCACGCAGTCTCCGCAAATTGTCAGCGTCAACACCCCACAAATATTAAATTGGATGTACAAGACGCATTCGAAAAGGAAAATTTACTCTAAGTTATTCTGTATATTGTATATTGGTGAATAGATGGCTGCGGAACTCGCTACGCTCGTCGATTCTAGATACACCAGAATACATAGACGGCGGAACCATGAGAAAAATTTGTGTTTTATATTTTTGTTGTTTTTGCTTTAACCACTTTGACAATACTATGACAGATACCCATTACCCAACATAACGGATCTCTTGAAGAAGCTGGCCATATATTTCACTGCCTTAGATTCAGCTAGCGGCTTCCACCAGATCTAGACAACAATATCGAAAAACCGGATTCAGCACAGAAAACGGGCATTATAAGTTCTTGCGCATGCCCTTTGGTTTAAAGAACGCACCGGCGTACATTCCAAAGAGCTATGGATGATATTTTATATCCCAATATATTGAGCAAATTTAACACCGAAATATGGAACATCCCATCAATAATATGTGTATAAATTTATCAAGTACAAATGAATGGATTGTTGCGGTACTCATGGGTGGACCTCTGCGGGACGAGCGCAGCGAGTTCCGCAGCCATCTACTCACCAATATGCTGTTCAAGTACGATACAAACCTAAGTCATTCAGTTGTGAGTTTTTATCGTTAGTTCAAAAACTACACGTTTCAGATGAGTGTCTTACTTGAATAAGTCAATAGTGTATTGATAAGTAGATGGCTGCGGAACTCGCTGCGCTCGTCCCGCAGAGGTCCACCTATAAGTTATGCAGTAATCTACTAATTTGTACTCAAACAACTTGTTACATAAACTCAAAATTTATCAAGTATAAATGATTAGATTGTTGCAAAACTCATGGGTGGACCTCTGCGGGACGAGCGCAGCGAGTTCCGCAGCCATCTACTTATCAATATGCTGTTCAAGTATGATACAAATCTGACTCACTCAGTTTGCTTGTTGTCTTGTGATAGGCATATACAGAATGTTCTGGAATTTCCCTCGAACTCTCTTCAAATATCTTTCCTGGTCTTTTGTTGAAGTTTCAAATATGTCGGTGATGTCATAAATTCGATATCTCCTTTAATTTCCAAATAGAATGTTCTAGAATTTGATGTTTCGAATACGTCGGCGAAGTCAGAAATTTAATATCTCCCTTGGTTTCCAAATAGAATTTTCTAGAACTTACTCGAAGATTCACTATCACAGTCAAAATCAGGTATACAGTCACTTCCGGGGTAATTTACACGATCGGTCACTGTTTGCACTGATTAATTGTCCCAGTGTTCACTTAATGTTCAGTGTTCACACTACATTAATGTCCCCACACTATTCTGCAATTGGATTTCACTTTGCAGTCCTTTATATCTCACTTCTGACACCAATTTCACGTCTTTGAGTATCGTGACAGAAATCTTGGGTTCGTTGTTCGGTTATTCCAAAATCATAGACAGCCATCTACTTATCAATATGCTGTTCAAGTACTATACAAACCTGACTCACTCAGTTGTGAGTTTTTATCATTATTTCAAAAACTACACATATTTCAGATTAGTGTCTTACTTGAACAATTCAATAGTATATTGGTAAGTAGATGGCTGCGGAACTCGCTACGCTCGTCCCGCAGAGGTCCATCTATAGGTTCTACAAAAATCTACTTATTTGTACTTGAACAATTTGTTACATAAACGTAAAATTTATCGAGTGGATTGTTGCGGAACCCAAGTGTGCCAAACCAAAATCCCTTATACACTTCTTATGGTAGTCCTACTTATGCCGCCCCCGAACTAATTTTGGGGTAGCAATATTTCGGACAGGAAGTGGACGTTTGGTCCATGGAGGTTTTGTTGTACGCCTTGTTAGTTGACAATTTGCCTTTTGACGATTTGAATGTTAATAATTTGTATAAGAAAATTCTGGTAGGTAGTTTCAAATACAAAAATTTCCTTTGAAAATTTTCTAAGGGCCAAATTATCGACTGACTGGTAAACGTCTGGTTGTTACCTAACAGGTACTTTCTATGCACTAGAGAATAGAAAGTACCTGCTAGGTAACAACCAGACACTTACCAATTAGTCCATAATTTGGCCCTAAAAGAGTAATTCAAATACAGTTTCGTTTTAAATACAGAAATCTTTTACAAATTTCCAATAGATCATACAGTTTGCTGGTAGATAATACAATTTTCTACGTTTCAAATACAGAAATTTCCTTCAAATTTCCAAAAGTTTGTTGGTAACACAATTTTCTTTATTCCAAATATAAAAGCCTGAAATTCACTCGCAAATGCAGTTTTCTCAGTTCCGAATACAATAATCTCCCACAAATTCCCAACAGATGTCGCAACAGGTTTTGAAATTGTCTCGCATGACAAAACATGCCTCAAACAAGCAAAATCTCAATCAGAGGCGACGGCTCTATAATCCTATACGGTTTGCACAACCACTACAAAACCGATTTGCCTTCAAAACTACTAACAAGATTAGCACCTGAAGAGTTCAAGCACACAATGAACCAAATCAACGCAATATTAGAAAACCGCATAAGAAAAAACGCCTTGTTTTGCCTCGCACCGTGTTTTTGTACTTTAGGACTGACCCTAGGGCCTTCGCTTTGGTTGAATAAAAGGACCAAAAAGGCGTTGAGGGATTTTTTGGTTGAGGAAAATAAAAGGATTTTCGATGGGTTGGGGTTGCGCTGGTCGCTGACCAAAGGGCAATTTGGGTTGAGCATTGAATATGTTTTACAGATTGAGTTTGTTGAAAAGATTACCGCAAATAATCCTGATTGAATTTTAATAATAAATTTTAGTAAAAGTTGTATTGTATTTTATCTTGCAGTTAAGATATAAGGTGTGTTTCTGCAGTCAGAAAACTTGTTTCATTCAAAGACTGGTTTGTAATTTCTGCAGAAACAGACCTAATAATTTGTATCCAGTTTACTTACACATCTATATGAATTTGAATTTAGAATGGACACTACGAAGAACCAGCCTTTATCTCCAAAGAAAGCAAAAAGCTAATAAGATCGATGCTCCAAATAGAACCAAGCAAACGCATCAAAATCTCCCAGCTTTTGAACCACCCCTGGTTAACTTTAGGAATTTTCGATCCGGTAAACTACAAGACCAAAACCAAAAAAGACTTGGACCGCACTTGCGTGCAAACAATGAGCAAATTCATGAACATCGATGAAAATTCCTTAAAACTTGAACTATCAGAGTGGTTATGGGACTACAACACTGTAACCTACTTGCTGTTGTTAAACAGAAAAACCAGGGGACAAAGTTTGAGGCTCTATCCAGCTGCTTACGGCTGGAAGTTTCCAGTTTTAGTAGAACTTACTGCAAACCATTCAACTCCTAATAACAAGCAAACCAGGACAAGGCGTAAGTTTGTGCGCAGCCCCGGCTATTTGAGTCCGACTGGTCAATTTTTAGAGCCCGATCGGAAGGCTTTAAAAAGGCCCAGGAGCCCCGCTTTATTGGACGAAGCATCACCTGGTAAGTACTTGTCTTAAATGGAAGTTTCCAAGTTAAAAGTTAAAGTGGTGATTTGTCAATGGTCATTGGCGTATACAATTTTTAGTCTAATGTTGAAACAAAACAAATAAATTAAAATGAAAATTCTACGCTAGTGTTTTAAAAGTAGGTAGTTTATACGAGGCCCCGGGGAGTCTTATTAGGTCCCTCGACTAATTTAAGAGTTGCAGGCTCGTAAAGAAAGAGCCGGCGAGGCGTAAAGGGGGCCTTAGAAGACGCGCTTTGAAACTTTTAACTGCTTCCACCTGTCGACTGGTAGATGCATGCGACAAAACTGGACGAGATTTATTTGTATCGCCCGTCTTCTAAAGTTTTGTTGTTTGTTTTTGGTAGTTTTAGGATTATTTTGATTCAAATTGAAATGTATTTTTTCCTGTTTTGTAGTGCCCTCCAAAAAATTGACGCCTGCCAAAGGGACACCGCTAAAGACACCCGACAGGTAAGTGTTTTTAGTAATCTTAAAGTCAAATAAGTGAACATTTCAATCAGATAAACAATTCAGAATGTCCAGAAGCATTTTTAGAAAACTTGAAAAAAATTTAGAAACTTAAACATTTTGGAAAACTTGAAAACATTTGTCGCGAAAGACACTTTATTTATGACTGAGATAGGGGTTTTATTTCCCTTAATGTGGCCTCCTTCCTCCCCTTATAGCTACCCCGATCCTCGCTATACTAATAACTGTTTTTCTAAGACACTGATCTACGGCTATTACTGATACTCTGAAACTGGCATGAATTCTCTGCCTGGGATTCACATTATCTGATACTGATACGTAAGTCCTCTACCTGAGATTGATGCATTGAGACTTCTGCAAAGGTCCACCCATAAGTTCTGTAGTAATCTACCCATTTGTACTTGAACAACTTGTTATATAAACTCAAAATTTATCAAGTACAAATGAATGAATTGTTGCGAAACTTATGGGTGGACCTCTGCGGGACGAGCGTAGCGAGTTCCGCAGCCATCTACTCATCAATATGCTGTTCAAGTACGAGATAAACCTGATTCACTTAGTTGTGAATTTTTATCATTGGTTCAAAAACTACACGTTTTAGATGAGTGTCTTACTTGAACAATTCAATAGTATATTGGTAAGTAGATGGCTGCGGAACTCGCTACGCTCGTCCCGCAGAGGTCCACTCATAAGTTCTGCGGTAATCTACTAATTTGTACTTGAACAACTTGTTACATAAACGTAAAATTTATCGAGTGGATTGTTGCGGAACCCAAGTGTGTCAAACCAGATGGTGGTATGCAGGTAAGTCCTCTACCTGAGATTGATACATTGAGACTTCTGCAAAGGTCCACCCATAAGTTCTGTAGTAATATACCCATTTGTACTTAAACAACTTGTTATATAAACTCAAAATTTATCAAGTACAAATGAATGGATTGTTGCGAAACTTATGGGTGGACCTCTGCGGGACGAGCGCAGCGAGTTCCGCAGCCATCTACTCATCAATATGCTGTTCAAGTACGATACAAACCTGACTCACTTAGTTGTGAATTTTTATCATTGGTTCAAAAACTACACGTTTTAGATGAGTGTCTTACTTGAACAATTCAATAGTATATTGGTAAGTAGATGGCTGCGGAACTCGCTGCGCTCGTCCCGCAGAGGTCCACCTATAAGTTCTGCAGTAATCTACTCATTTGTACTTAAACAACTTGTTACATAAACTCAAAATTTATCAAGTACAAATGAATGAATTGTTGCGAAACTTATGGGTGGACCTCTGCGGGACGAGCGCAGCGAGTTCCGCAGCCATCTACTCATCAATATGCTGTTCAAGTACGATACAAACCTGACTCACTTAGTTGTGAATTTTTATCATTGGTTCAAAAACTACACGTTTTAGATGAGTGTCTTACTTGAACAATTCAATAGTATATTGGTAAGTAGATGGCTGCGGAACTCGCTACGCTCGTCCCGCAGAGGTCCACTCATAAGTTCTGTGGTAATCTACTAATTTGTACTTGAACAACTTGTTACATAAACGTAAAATTTATCGAGTGGATTGTTGCGGAACCCAAGTGTGTCAAACCAGATGGTGGTATGCAAGTAAGTCCTCTACCTGAGATTGATACATTGAGACTTCTGCAAAGGTCCACCCATAAGTTCTGTAGTAATCTACCCATTTGTACTTGAACAACTTGTTATATAAACTCAAAATTTATCAAGTACAAATGAATGAATTGTTGCGAAACTTATGGGTGGACCTCTGCGGGACGAGCGTAGCGAGTTCCGCAGCCATCTACTCATCAATATGCTGTTCAAGTACGAGATAAACCTGACTCACTTAGTTGTGAATTTTTATCATTGGTTCAAAAACTACACGTTTTAGATGAGTGTCTTACTTGAACAATTCAATAGTATATTGGTAAGTAGATGGCTGCGGAACTCGCTACGCTCGTCCCGCAGAGGTCCACTCATAAGTTCTGCGGTAATCTACTAATTTGTACTTGAACAACTTGTTACATAAACGTAAAATTTATCGAGTGGATTGTTGCGGAACCCAAGTGTGTCAAACCAGATGGTGGTATGCAGGTAAGTCCTCTACCTGAGATTGATACATTGAGACTTCTGCAAAGGTCCACCCATAAGTTCTGTAGTAATATACCCATTTGTACTTGAACAACTTGTTATATAAACTCAAAATTTATCAAGTACAAATGAATGGATTGTTGCGAAACTTATGGGTGGACCTCTGCGGGACGAGCGCAGCGAGTTCCGCAGCCATCTACTCATCAATATGCTGTTCAAGTACGATACAATCCTGACTCACTTAGTTGTGAATTTTTATCATTGGTTCAAAAACTACACGTTTTAGATGAGTGTCTTACTTGAACAATTCAATAGTATATTGGTAAGTAGATGGCTGCGGAACTCGCTGCGCTCGTCCCGCAGAGGTCCACCTATAAGTTCTGCAGTAATCTACTCATTTGTACTTAAACAACTTGTTACATAAACTCAAAATTTATCAAGTACAAATGAATGAATTGTTGCGAAACTTATGGGTGGACCTCTGCGGGACGAGCGCAGCGAGTTCCGCAGCCATCTACTCATCAATATGCTGTTCAAGTACGATACAAACCTGACTCACTTAGTTGTGAATTTTTATCATTGGTTCAAAAACTACACGTTTTAGATGAGTGTCTTACTTGAACAATTCAATAGTATATTGGTAAGTAGATGGCTGCGGAACTCGCTACGCTCGTCCCGCAGAGGTCCACTCATAAGTTCTGTGGTAATCTACTAATTTGTACTTGAACAACTTGTTACATAAACGTAAAATTTATCGAGTGGATTGTTGCGGAACCCAAGTGTGTCAAACCAGATGGTGGTATGCAGGTAAGTCCTCTACCTGAGATTGATACATTGAGACTTCTGCAAAGGTCCACCCATAAGTTCTGTAGTAATCTACCCATTTGTACTTGAACAACTTGTTATATAAACTCAAAATTTATCAAGTACAAATGAATGAATTGTTGCGAAACTTATGGGTGGACCTCTGCGGGACGAGCGTAGCGAGTTCCGCAGCCATCTACTCATCAATATGCTGTTCAAGTACGAGATAAACCTGACTCACTTAGTTGTGAATTTTTATCATTGGTTCAAAAACTACACGTTTTAGATGAGTGTCTTACTTGAACAATTCAATAGTATATTGGTAAGTAGATGGCTGCGGAACTCGCTACGCTCGTCCCGCAGAGGTCCACTCATAAGTTCTGCGGTAATCTACTAATTTGTACTTGAACAACTTGTTACATAAACGTAAAATTTATCGAGTGGATTGTTGCGGAACCCAAGTGTGTCAAACCAGATGGTGGTATGCAGGTAAGTCCTCTACCTGAGATTGATACATTGAGACTTCTGCAAAGGTCCACCCATAAGTTCTGTAGTAATATACCCATTTGTACTTGAACAACTTGTTATATAAACTCAAAATTTATCAAGTACAAATGAATGGATTGTTGCGAAACTTATGGGTGGACCTCTGCGGGACGAGCGCAGCGAGTTCCGCAGCCATCTACTCATCAATATGCTGTTCAAGTACGATACAAACCTGACTCACTTAGTTGTGAATTTTTATCATTGGTTCAAAAACTACACGTTTTAGATGAGTGTCTTACTTGAACAATTCAATAGTATATTGGTAAGTAGATGGCTGCGGAACTCGCTGCGCTCGTCCCGCAGAGGTCCACCTATAAGTTCTGCAGTAATCTACTCATTTGTACTTAAACAACTTGTTACATAAACTCAAAATTTATCAAGTACAAATGAATGAATTGTTGCGAAACTTATGGGTGGACCTCTGCGGGACGAGCGCAGCGAGTTCCGCAGCCATCTACTCATCAATATGCTGTTCAAGTACGATACAAACCTGACTCACTTAGTTGTGAATTTTTATCATTGGTTCAAAAACTACACGTTTTAGATGAGTGTCTTACTTGAACAATTCAATAGTATATTGGTAAGTAGATGGCTGCGGAACTCGCTACGCTCGTCCCGCAGAGGTCCACTCATAAGTTCTGTGGTAATCTACTAATTTGTACTTGAACAACTTGTTACATAAACGTAAAATTTATCGAGTGGATTGTTGCGGAACCCAAGTGTGTCAAACCAGATGGTGGTATGCAAGTAAGTCCTCTACCTGAGATTGATACATTGAGACTTCTGCAAAGGTCCACCCATAAGTTCTGTAGTAATCTACCCATTTGTACTTGAACAACTTGTTATATAAACTCAAAATTTATCAAGTACAAATGAATGAATTGTTGCGAAACTTATGGGTGGACCTCTGCGGGACGAGCGTAGCGAGTTCCGCAGCCATCTACTCATCAATATGCTGTTCAAGTACGAGATAAACCTGACTCACTTAGTTGTGAATTTTTATCATTGGTTCAAAAACTACACGTTTTAGATGAGTGTCTTACTTGAACAATTCAATAGTATATTGGTAAGTAGATGGCTGCGGAACTCGCTGCGCTCGTCCCGCAGAGGTCCACCTATAAGTTCTGCAGTAATCTACTCATTTGTACTTAAACAACTTGTTACATAAACTCAAAATTTATCAAGTACAAATGAATGAATTGTTGCGAAACTTATGGGTGGACCTCTGCGGGACGAGCGCAGCGAGTTCCGCAGCCATCTACTCATCAATATGCTGTTCAAGTACGATACAAACCTGACTCACTTAGTTGTGAATTTTTATCATTGGTTCAAAAACTACACGTTTTAGATGAGTGTCTTACTTGAACAATTCAATAGTATATTGGTAAGTAGATGGCTGCGGAACTCGCTACGCTCGTCCCGCAGAGGTCCACTCATAAGTTCTGTGGTAATCTACTAATTTGTACTTGAACAACTTGTTACATAAACGTAAAATTTATCGAGTGGATTGTTGCGGAACCCAAGTGTGTCAAACCAGATGGTGGTATGCAGGTAAGTCCTCTACCTGAGATTGATACATTGAGACTTCTGCAAAGGTCCACCCATAAGTTCTGTAGTAATCTACCCATTTGTACTTGAACAACTTGTTATATAAACTCAAAATTTATCAAGTACAAATGAATGAATTGTTGCGAAACTTATGGGTGGACCTCTGCGGGACGAGCGTAGCGAGTTCCGCAGCCATCTACTCATCAATATGCTGTTCAAGTACGAGATAAACCTGACTCACTTAGTTGTGAATTTTTATCATTGGTTCAAAAACTACACGTTTTAGATGAGTGTCTTACTTGAACAATTCAATAGTATATTGGTAAGTAGATGGCTGCGGAACTCGCTACGCTCGTCCCGCAGAGGTCCACTCATAAGTTCTGCGGTAATCTACTAATTTGTACTTGAACAACTTGTTACATAAACGTAAAATTTATCGAGTGGATTGTTGCGGAACCCAAGTGTGTCAAACCAGATGGTGGTATGCAGGTAAGTCCTCTACCTGAGATTGATACATTGAGACTTCTGCAAAGGTCCACCCATAAGTTCTGTAGTAATATACCCATTTGTACTTGAACAACTTGTTATATAAACTCAAAATTTATCAAGTACAAATGAATGGATTGTTGCGAAACTTATGGGTGGACCTCTGCGGGACGAGCGCAGCGAGTTCCGCAGCCATCTACTCATCAATATGCTGTTCAAGTACGATACAAACCTGACTCACTTAGTTGTGAATTTTTATCATTGGTTCAAAAACTACACGTTTTAGATGAGTGTCTTACTTGAACAATTCAATAGTATATTGGTAAGTAGATGGCTGCGGAACTCGCTACGCTCGTCCCGCAGAGGTCCACTCATAAGTTCTGTGGTAATCTACTAATTTGTACTTGAACAACTTGTTACATAAACGTAAAATTTATCGAGTGGATTGTTGCGGAACCCAAGTGTGCCAAACCAGATGGTGGTATGCAGGTAAGTCCTCTACCTGAGATTGATACATTGAGACTTCTGCAAAGGTCCACCCATAAGTTCTGTAGTAATATACCCATTTGTACTTGAACAGCCATCTACTCATCAATATGCTGTTCAAGTACGATACAAACCTGACTCACTTAGTTGTGAATTTTTATCATTGGTTCAAAAACTACACGTTTTAGATGAGTGTCTTACTTGAACAATTCAATAGTATATTGGTAAGTAGATGGCTGCGCTCGTCCCGCAGCCATCTACTTATCAATATGTTGTTCAAGTACGATAAAAACCTGATTTACTCAGGTTTGAGTTTTTATCATTAGTTTAAAAACTACACGTTTCAGGTAAGTATCTTACTTGAATAGTTCAACAGTATATTGGTAAGTAGATGGCTGCGGAACTCGCTGCGCTCGTCCCGCAGAGGTACACCTTTAAGTTCTGCAGTAATCTACTCATTTGTACTTGATAAATTTTGAGTTTATGTAACAAGTTGTTCGAGTACAGATGAGTAGATTACTACAGAATTTATAGGTGGACCTCTGCGGGACGAGCGCAGCGAGTTCCGCAGCCATCTACTTACCAATTTGCTGTTCAAGTACGATAAAAACATGACTTAATCAGGTCTGAGTTTTTATCATTAGTTCAAAAACTACACGTTTCAGGCGAGTATCTTACTTGAATAGTTCAACAGTATATTGGTAAATAGATGGTAGAATGGAATCTTTCAATAGGACTATTCGAATTAGGGTTTCAGAGTGTCGTATAATGGAATTCGATTTTATGTAAAGTACATAAATCTGTTACCATTGCAGCCATCTACTTACCAATATACTGTTGAACTATTCAAAAAAGACACTCACCTGAAACGTGTAGATTTTAAACTAATGAGAATAACTCACATTTGAATGAGTCAAGTTAGTATCGTAATTACACAACATATTAATCTACTCATTTGTACTTGATAAATTTTGAGTTTATGTAACAAGTTGTTCGAGTACAGATGAGTAGATTACTGCAGAATTTATAGGTGGACCTCTGCGGGACGAGCGCAGCGAGTTCCGCAGCCATCTACTTATCAATATGCTGTTCAAGTACGATAAAAACCTCACTCGGTTGTGAGATTTTATCATTAGTTCAAAAAGTACAAGTTTTAGATGAGTGTCTATTACTTGAACAATTCAATAATTGATGAGTAGATGACTGCGGAACTTGCTGCGCTCGTTTCGCAGAGGTTTACCTATAAGTTCGTGAATCCCAGGTAGCGGGTTCACCTATGGGGTTCACATACAATGAAGTTCACGTATCAATATCAGGCAAGGTGAATTCCAAGTAGAGGGTTCAGCATGGGTTCAGGCATAAACATTTAGGGATTCAGGTATCAATAGATCTGTTTCTGCAGTAATCACAAACCAGTCAGAGTGAATTTGATTGGTTGAAAACAGTCAGAAAACCAGTTTCAACCAATGAAATTCACTCTGATTGGTTCGTGATTTCTGCAGAAACAGACCTAATATTAGGCACGTGAATCCCAAATAGAAGATTCACGTCAGTATCACTGATGGATTGTCAGATTCTCAGTCAGAAACACAGATTGTCAGAGAAGACTGATAATCTGACATCAAGACAGTTTTGCTTCACAGCTCCGTTGATTTCGATCTAATTCTTACGTAATTAGACTCTAATTGAAGCCGATTAAATTCTCGACAAACCTATTTCATTTTGTTCTTAATATTATTGTAGCTGAGAAGCTGAAAATTTTGTTATCCTTTTTGAATAATTTTCTAAATCAAAAAAAGAGCGGTCTCATGACGCTTATATAACGCAATACAAATTAGCGTATATCGTCATCAATGGGCGTCACTAATTGACGTCGTAAACCCGAAAACTATACGACCGGGATCTGATCGTAAACTGAGACCGCAAAAAGGGGGGATTGCCTGGCTGTTTATGGGGTTGCGCGCCAATTAACCCTTTGGTAAAAATACGTTTTATAATTTCAGAAATGAGACTCCGAGCTCTGCAAGAAAACTACTACTGGGCAGCATTGAAAGGTCCCTACATAAGATGCGGCACGCTTTGACACCGAAAAAACCACTAGATTCAATCAACAATAGCCCAATTATGCTTAACAATAAGGTAAATGTTTAACAATTTCAATATTTTTAATAATAATTATTATTTTTTAGAATTTATGCAACGTTTCAACAACTCAGTGCAAAGACCCAGAACTAGTAATTACGGAATTATCACGAGGTCTGGAGAAAAAAGGCATCAATTGTACTAGAAAAGGGTAAGTAATTGATGTTTGCCCCGAAATAAAAGACAATTTGAATGTTCCAATAAGTGCCTCTAAGCAAATGATACATAATGACTAATCTTATTTCAGATTTACATTGAAAGGCAGCTTTGAACCGGCAGTTTTCCATCGATTGGGCGGCTGCTCGTTCGAGTTGGAAATTTGCTTTTTGCCCAATTTAGGGTTGCCCGATTGTCTTACACCTACAAAATCGATTTTGAAGCACAGCATTTTAAATAAGGAGTCAATTGAAAGTAATGGTTTTGTTGGGATCAGACGTAAGAGGCTCAAGGGTGACTCGTGGTGCTACAAGAAAGTTTGTGAGCAAGTGCTGGCTTTAACTTGCACCGGGTTTATTAATAATAATTCAAAGGAGTCTGTTTTGGAGTCTTCTGTTTAGGGGAATTTTTTTGGTATTTTGTATGTGATTTCACACTTGACAATATGATAATATGGTTGATTTTTCAAATTTAAATTGGTCTTTTTGAAGTGTGTAACAGTGATTCTTTGATTGATTTTTCCAAAGAATAAACTATCATATTGTCAAGTCCAATACAAATCTTTATATAGGAGGGAGTTTTTATATCGTACTGTGAATACAGGGTGGAGTAAATTTTTGGTACTATGTCAATAACCTAAATTAGCTAGTTTCGTTTTCACTGACTCACCCTGTATTTATTATTATATTATTAGGGTCTTGATTATTAATACATAAGAAATACTTTTACACTTATATAATATATATTTTTTATTTACTGATTATTGATTATTAAATAAATATTTGCAAGTATTAAATTTTTGTTTTTAATTTTCAAATCCCTATTATACAGTGGGCTACAAACTACAAAGATTGACCATCATCATAAGACCCGCAGCAGCTATCGGAATGCCAATGTGAGTGGGCAAAACCCGGTCAAAGATCACGATTTGCTCCACATAGATTTGCGCATTTTGAATTTCAAACTCTAACAATTTTTCTAAATTTAAAAGATAGTTCCGGTCGTTAATTAGAAGACGCTCGCTTTACCCTCAGGTGAGCAAGTTTAATAATAATTGCCCCCCTTTGGAGCAACTTATGCAATTATGATGATTCTCCCGCTAAGTCTAATAAAAGTAATTCACCGCAGGAGGAGGAGGTGGAAGTAGAATAGTTCGGCGGCGGCTTGAAGAGAAGAGGTCCATAAACTCGGGGCCGTGTTAAGCCACCGTGGCACGAGCCACGGCCCGGAACAGAGAGAACCAACCGCCACGCATATCCTGGGGCACGTGTCTTAAGAATCAGTAGCGGAGAACAATAGATTGACTTGATAGATTGATAATAATCAACGAGATTTTTCTATAAAAATTGACAAAATCATAGTTTGTTGCTAGCCATAATAAATAGGAATATGCATTCGACGTTTATATTGTGACTTTTCCATTTTTGGAAAAGATTCTCTCAATACAACGTAACACAACTTATCAATAAATAAGAGAATTCATTTATCAGTGGTCTAGCAGCAGCAGCGTCTAGCTCCACATTACTAGCGTGGGTATCTAAAATGAACTTTCCCTCTGAAAGCGGATATTCTAAAATATTTAACTTATGAAAAGATTCCTGGCACTTTTGGTCTAATTAAAAACGTAGTTGTCTTTTTATGAGTTTGATAAGTGACTTGGCAACATTGGCAAATCCTTGTAAGAAGATACATAGCTCAAGGAAACTTCGAAGTTGATGCAGGTCTTTAAGAATCGGCCACTCTTGAACTGCTTTTACATTTTGATTATCCACAGCTACTCCTTGACCAGAGACTCCATGACTTAGGTACTCTTAATGAAAAAGAAAAGGTGACATTTCTTTGGACTGAGCTTCAAATCAAAATTCCCTAGTCTCTGGAGCACCTTTTTTAAGTTCATCATATGGTCCTTAAAAGATAAGCCCTTAAAAACGGTTTCTATGAGTTGTTGAAAGGTAGCGGGAGCATAACACAATCCAAATGGTATAACGGTAAACTGCCATAATCCAGTTCCGAAAGTCAATGTACTTGCTGATAGCCACTTTTTAAGTCTAAAGTCGAGCAAATATTTGATCCAGTCAAAGTGTTCAGCGTGTCATCAATACGAAGAAATTAGTAACTATCTTTTTTCGTTACGCTGTTTGATTGGCGATAATCAACACAAAATCGGGTTGAACCATCCTTATTCTTAACTAGCACAACCCGCGAAGACCATGGATTGGTAGAGGGTTCAATAGGTTCTTCTTTCTCCATATTCTAAATTATCCTTTCAGCTATTTCACTTTTAGCCAAGGATAGTCTTCTTGCTAGGGAGATGCCACTAATCTGGAGAATTACCGCCCTATAAGTTTACTGTTTATCTTATATAAGCAGCTGACGAAAATACTTACAAATAGATTAAATCACCAGACACCAGAAAATAAAACAAAATATTCAATGTGATTTGCAAGGGTTATTTCTTATGGAAAGTTTCAAATACCATAATAGTATTGGCAAATTATAAAATAATATAGACAAATTATATCATCGGAAAGGTAATTTTATGTGTATTCCAAAAATGTAAAAATTTACAAGGTGGCCTATTTAAAAAAGATGAAGTTTGTGTCATATCCCTTAAGCGGTATCTCGGAAAAAAAAACAGTACGCCAATGAAATCTACGTAAAAAACTGTGTCAGATACAATTTTCATCTTTTTGATAACCTATTCCATGACTACTTTCGAAAAGTGAACATTTCAAGTTTCACCCTGTATCTCCAAAAAGGAAACAAGATAGAGACCTGCGGTTTACGGCATTCGATTTGTCATAAAAAAATTGATCCGGGAATGTGCAATCAAAAAAAATATATCTCTGCGAGTTTAGCAGACAACCCCAATTTTCATCATCAATGAGACACCCTGTATACATCGTTGTTTTTCGCAAAGCATTCATGCTTCGTTGTCACAAAGTTCGAGTTAGTCGTACTGTACAGTATTGATAACGCACGTGCTATCAACATTTGAATCGAAAAGGTAAGTATTTATATAGGATCTTCACCAAAACTATACCGGTTTTGAGGCACGTTAAGGAGGAGGTTAGCCGCTCTGATGAAATCAGTACCGAGAAATGTGCGGCTATTGTCGTGTTCAGATACAGAAAATCGCGATCGGCACACAATAATCACTCTACCAGACTTGAAACTCACTATGGCCCCACGTTGGGCGCCAATTTGTAAGATAATTCTTAGAGAAGATGAGTACACGGGAAGAATTAAACGAGAACCAATAGAGAAAAACTGATTACTGTATATTGGTTTTGTATCAATAAGCGTTATTGCACTATGAACCATAGACTATGAACGTTGACATCTCGTAGTTGAAAGCCGATCAGTGGCGTAGGAATTAGGGAATTTTGTTACAAACTCAAAAACAAGTCAAATAATCAAATTAACTAAAAACCCAATCAAGAGCCGGGAATAGTAAAACGAATTTTTCCTCTGAAAGCGGATATCGTAGAATCGGTTCTCTGATTAACGCGAGTTTTAACTTTTGAAAAGATTCCTGGCACTCTTGGTCCCATTGGAAACGTATTTAATTTTTCATGAGCTTGGTAAGTGGCTTGGCAACATTGACAAATCCTTGTACGTAGATACAAAGATAGCGGGAGCATTACACAATCCAAATGGTATGACGGTAAATTTCCATAATCCAGTTCTGACAGTGCTATATCTATCAGCATGATACACTTTTCATAATTGAATAATTCATCAACGGAAACGCTATTCCAGGCGTGACATATTATGCCTTTTTTTTTTAAGGGCTAGATGATGGCTACAGGCTGACGATCACTTCTTAGCATCGACTCTAGTTTTCCGGTGCTGACGTGGTAGACCCTGGCTATTCTCTCTACAGCGTCTTACCCAGCATACCACATTTCCAACACCGTATTTGTCTTTTTTCAAATGTTACTTCTTCAATAAGTCTCCATTTTTTCCAGTTATAAGGGCCATAGGTGCCATCATAGAAGCCAGAGACTGCGGTTAGGAGAGGGCAGAACTTATAGGTGGACCTCTGCGGGACGAGCGCAGCGAGTTCCGCAGCCATTTTCTTACCAATATACTATTGAATTGTTTAGGTAAGACACTCATCTGAAATGTATAGTTTTTGAACTAATAATAAAAACTCACAACTGAGTGAGTCAGGCTTGTATCGTACTTAAACAGTATATTGATGAGTAGATGGCTGCGGAACTCGCTGCGCTCGTCCTGCAGAGGTCCACCCATGAGTTCCGCAACAATCCATTCATTTGTACTTGATACATTTTGAGTTTACGTAACAAGTTGTTCAAGTACAAATTAGTAGATTACTGCAGAACTTATGGGAAGACCTCTGCGGGACGAGCGCAGCGAGTTCCGCAGCCATCTACTCACCAATATACTATTGAATTGTTCATCTGAAACGTGTAGTTTTTGAACTAATGATAAAAATTCACAACTTAAATGAGTCAGGTTTGTATCGTACTTGAACAGCATATTGATAAGTAGATGGCTGACTTTGATTTTGGAATAAACGAACAACGAACCCAAGATTTCTATCACGATACCCAAACTCGTGACATTGGTGTCAGAAGTGAGATATAAAGGACTGCAAAGTGAAATCCAATTGCAGAATAGTGTGGGGACACTAGTGTAATGTGAACACTGAACACTAAGTGAATACTGAGACAGTTAGTTTGTGCAAAGAGTGACCGATCGTGTAAATTACCCCGGAAGTGACTGTATACCCGATTTTGACTGTGATGGTGAATTTTCGAGTGAGTTCTAGAAAATTGTATTTGGAAATCAAGGAAGATATTGAATTTCTGACGTATTCGAAATATCAATCGACATTCAGAAAAAAAAAATCGAGGAGTTTCGGGAAAATTCTAGAACATTCTATTTGGAAACTAAGGGAGATATCGAATTTATGACTTCACCGACGTATTTGAAACTTTAACAAAAGACCAGGGAAGATATTTGAAGAGAGTTTAAGGGAAATTCCAAATCATTCTGTATATGCTTATCACAGGGCAACAAGCAAACTGAGTGAGTTAGGTTTGAATCATACTTGAACAGCATATTGATAAGTAGATGGCTGCGGAACTCGCTGCGCTCGTCCCGCAGAGGTCCACCCATGAGTTTCGCAACAATCTAATCATTTATACTTGATAAATTTTGAGTTTATGTAACAAGTTGTTTGAGTACAAATTAGTAGATTACTGCATAACTTATAGGTGGACCTCTGCGGGACGAGCGCAGCGAGTTCCGCAGCCATCTACTTATCAATACACTATTGAATTGTTCAAGTAAGACACTTATCTGAAATGTGAAGTTTTTGAACTAATGATGAAAACTCACAACTGAGTAAGTCAGGCTTTTATCGTACTTGAACAGCATATTGATAAGTATATGGCTGACTTTGATTTTGGAATAAACGAAAAACGAACCCAAGATTTCTGTCACGATATCCAAAGACGTGTCATTGGTGTCAGAAGTGAGATATAAAGGACTGCAAAAAGAAATCCAATTGCAGAATGAGTGAACACTGAACACTGAGTAAACACTAGGACAGTTATTCAGTGTAAACAGTGACCGATCGTCTAAATTACCCCGGAAATGACTGCATACTCTATTTTAACTGTGATAGTGAATCTTTGAGTGAGTTCTAGAAAATTCTATTTGGAAATCAAGTGAGATAAAAAAAATTCTGACTTCGCCGACTTATTCGAAACATCAATCATCATTCTGAAAAAGTTTTTCGA